AGAATGAGGGTATCATGGTGCCTGGCCTCAACACTGGTAAGTGCACACCCTCTTTGGCAAGTCACACTGCCTCTAGCAACTACACTTAGCCTGCCAGAGAACCTGCTGATAGATGGTGGCAAGGAGTGTGTGCTTGTGGTCCCCAGCTACTATCATGCATGTGGAGACATGCCCATCTATGTGGTGCCTTGTGTACAGCCATGAGAAGCACAACAACTGGCATCAACAGCCTGAGTGATGCCACAGATGGGTCACCATCTGTTGACCACTGTGTATCAGCTGTGTACCAGCACCATGGTGCTTGCCAAGCCTGATTGCTGTGCTGCCCCTCTGAGATGCTGCATGCTGTGCTGTCCTGTGTTGACAACCTCAATCCTGCCATGCCTCTTTGTATGCCAGGGCTTGGTGCAGACCATCTCTGGCAGGTCTGCCCATGGCATGAGCGCTGCTGCCTTGGCATGTGCTAAGCCAGCAGTTGGCACTGAGGGTCAGCTGGGCGCCCCCAGTGGGTGCGCCTGACCCTGCGCATCCCTTGGGACATGGCTACCTGCAGCATGGCAGCACAGGGCAGCCACCCTCACCCTCCTCCATTGGGCATGAGCCAACAGTGTGAGACAAACAGTTGAGTTGGGCAGCTGTCATCAGGCAGCTGGCCATGCTCAAATGGGCAACAACTGAGGGCTAAGTGTGGGATCAGGGGCTGGTATGGGCTGGCACAGTGGTGGCAGGCAACCTGCACATGCTCCAGTGGAGCTTCACCAGCTGCAGGATGACAGTGGCATGGGCCTCTGCTGTGAGGTAGTTGTGGTTGCTTACAGTGGTGGGTGCCCCACCATGTCTTTTGAGCTTGTGTTCAAACTCTTGGTCATCATTGGTGGGGCTGCACTGTTGTCCCCTTCTTCCATCTGCAGTCTTTGCAGGTCCTCCACCAGCAGCTCAGTTTCAGCTTGGTCAAGTGCAGTGTTGGCTCCCATGGTGCCCATGACACACTGTCACTATCCTCAATGTCTCTGGTGACCACCTTGTGTTCACCTTGCAAAACCCACACTCTGTGCTGCAAACTCTCAAGCAGCATTTGGATCCACTTTTTTGACCTTACTGTACATATCAGGCTGCCAACACTCACCAACATCAACCTGTGGATCAACAGGCTCATTTTCCCATCACATCAACACCAGGAGTGGCGTTGTGACACCCAAGTCAACAACAGACACATCTCATACCAAACCATGCAACCACCATCTCTCAGTCAAATTGTTGGGTGAGCAGGATTACACCTGGTTGAACAGCAACAGTGCAGTGTTGCACAACAGGAGTGTATCATCACACAGTGCACACTTATCAAACAACTCACAAAAGGCTCTTTATCAAATTCAGGAGAGGTGGAGGAGGCCCAGTGAGCGCGTTTCAAACCCAAACTCACTGCACCAACATCAGATCTCAAGAGATTCTTCCCCAGCCCTCCTCCAAAAAACAAGGCATTCTCTAGCAGTCTAGAGTATGGGCAAACCAAGGTGCCCTTGATCAACTGGAAGGACGTGCCAACAAAGTACAGCATGGCCAACATGGTGTAGCTGGAATCACAGGGTAATGATGCCTCACTAAGGGGGAAGTGTCCCACCCACAGGAGTGGAAGCATTAGGTGATGCAACTAGCTGGTGTTGTGTTGCCAACAAGCTGTTGGCACTGGGAGCAAGGAAAGAGATAGCCTGCTGGAGCCAACACTTGACAGTGCTCACAAGTGGAGGATGCCTCTTTGCATGGAGGCTACCCAGTGGTGTGCAAGCTTGGACCCCTTGTCTGGTGGTGGATTGGCTCAGTAATGGATGGATGGTGTGAAAGGGAGAGTATCAGAACCCCATGGTGTAGGTTGCTGACAACAAGAGAAGCAGTACTCCTTGTTGTACCAGTCAGGTTCAGTAACACAGTGATGTATCAAGATATTCCTACAACAATCCTGCTCCACAAATCATAAGGAATAAACAGTGATGGACACACCCTGTTATGTCTCAGTGTCAGTGGTTGAAGAAGTATGCTGGACAGGAGGAACCTAACCATGTTCACAGTTGTTGTGAAGTCATTACAGGGTGCACCAAATGACATTGGGAGGAGGAGAACATTATAACTGCAAGGAATGGCGCCCACACACTTATGTATTCCTGGACAGGTGATTATCCAAACCTCCCCAAAGAAGGACAACCAGAAGGTATACATCTATGAGACTGGAACATGCTACCACAGGATACATGCCCCCATTTCAATCCTTCTACAGCCACTAAGATGACCTGTGGAGAGGCTCAAAAGGGATGCACTGTGTGTAAACACTGCAATCCTGACAACTAGACACTGAATGCTAAGGCAGGATAAATGTTGTGCCAAAAACTTTGCTGGAATAAGTCAAGATGACTGTGGAATCCAGTGAAAACAGCTCGAAAATTCATCTCAGTCTGTGGATTTGCAGGGGTGTGCGGGCCAGGTATGCAGGAATACCAACTTTTTGTTAGCTCATGAAAGTTCAGCTTGATTTGCTCCTCTTCCATGTAAACTTTTTTCATTTTTTTTCAATTATGAATTCAAACTTTTGTGTGTCCACTTATTCTGGAATACAATCTTATTCTGGAATACAATCTTTGATTGTGAATTCAAACTTTTGTGTGTCCACTTATTCTGGAATAAGTTCAAGATTCCAGAATCACACACTTCAGTGAATCAGATTTGATTAATCACACCAAGATTAACAGCTGATTTGAACAAAAAAAGGTGTGAAGAGGATATATATTGTAGCTTTCTGCTTGTTAACAAAAAAAGTTCATAATATTGCTGTTGTGACAAATGTCAGGTGTATTCCAGAATAAGTTGCCTGCACACCCCAACAAATCTGCAGACTGAAATGAATTTTTGAGCTGTTTTCACTGGATTCCACAATCATCTTGACTTATTCCAGCACAGTTTTTGGCACAACATTTATCCTGCCTTAGGAATGAATGGTGGTGGAATGCAATTTGGTGTTGCAAAATTGTTGGCGCACACTGAAGGGAAATAACCAGGCACTCTTGTAGATAGCTGAAGAATTGACCAATCCAGCACCTACCCTGCACAGGTCCAGCATCTTGCAAAGGACCAAAGGAGAGGAAGTTCTCAATGATTTGTAGCCATCAGGTGGTTCCATGCAGTTGGACAAGAGGTGCACACTGTAGGAGATGCTGGTGCTATCAATGCAAGTGTGTTTGGCGTGAGGGGAAGTGCAACAGGTGTTGGAAATTCTGTTGTTCCTGTTGTTGCTAAAGATTCTCAACACTGGTCAAGTGCAGGCGTGCTCACAGTCTGTTGAGGTTGAGTTGAGTCAGTCAAGCCAGTGTGGTGTCATGCAGCACAGTCACAGATCTATTCAACAACAGTGGCACAAGGTGCTGCACACAGCTGGTTTTGCCACTGTCCCACCACTGCAATGTCCTCACACAAGCAACCACAAACTTGATGAGAGGACCTGGCTGTCATTTGCACTTGGAGATTAATTGTGTGGGAGATTTGGGGGGGCGAGGGCTGATTTTGATTGTTGTGGTGCGGGGCGCATACGCAAAGGACACAGCTGGCCAGCAGGAACTGGGGTGGGCCAGGCAGGCAGCTCTCTCCATGTGCTAGGTGCCTGCAGCAAAGTGGCAGAAGTGGTGGGTCCAAAATGACAATAAGGAGGCAGACCTGCTAATGCCACTTTGGCTTTGACCTGCGACCTGTGACCTGCAAAATGCAAATGCGACCTGAGACCAATGACAACATATATATTGACTTTGTTGGCTCACCAGCAGCAACCTACGAGGATAAATAGGAGTCCAGACATGGATTGACTCATAACAACCTCCCAAGTCCTCCACAACTCTCTTCACAATCACCACTGATAACTTGATGAGCCCAGCATGAAGTGTCTTACCCTAAGCCATGGTACTGATGTTTGCAGCCATGATGGTTGTATTGTGGTATGCATTCTCCTACTCTTGGATTGCCCCTGCTTCCCCCTACAGAGTGCGGCTGGCGGAAAGGATAAACGCCAAACAGGGGTGCACCTCACCAACCGCGCCTTTGTAAGTCAACCCATCACGTTGAAACCGACACTATCGCCACAGCCACAGCTGACATTGAGCACCGAGCGCCAACCTTGATCGATGTCACCATTTGCGTGCGCCGTCCAATTCTGCGCCCACAACAACAGCGCCTGCATCAAGCCTTGCGTCACCAGCGAGCAATGCCGCTGACAACACACAAGAGCAAAAGCGCCCGCCTACAAGGCGTTGTTGGGGTCCCGACCTACGGCAAGATGGACGGGGTCGCCTGCGGTCACCAGCTCAAGCTGTTGTTGACTGGTTCTGTCGATGTAAAAGATGCTCGCTGACTGGCGCTGTCAATGTCAAGACGCTCGCTGCTGGCTCTTTCAATGCTGGCTGCGTGCCGATGTCAGAGATGCTTGCCGTTGGAGCCGTCGATGCGTGCGCGCACGCCGCGAAACACGCTTGCTGATGGCGTGGTAGCTGTCGATGACGTCGCTGCCGCTTCTAGAGACGTTCGGTACGAGAGGCGTGCACTGCTGGCAACGCTCGTCCATTGCGCGTTTGGTGCAAGAGAACCTTGCTGCCTACGCTGGCGCAGGCGCTGCTTGCTTACGGCACCGGCGGCCATCGGCGTCAACGCGAGTCAGTCAGTCTGGCCTGGCGCCAGCTCTGTGGGACGACTCCGCGAGCCTATGCAAAGACCACACAGTGAGGCACCAAACCAGGCTGCCGATATCGCCGGCAAGCGCCAGAACGCGCCGCGCCTGCCCGAACCAAGGCCCGAGCCGACGTAAGCAGCCACGCCGAATGCTCATCGCCGACTCACGTTCAACGCGATGATCAGCGAGCAGAACCTGGAGGAAGAGGAGCTGGAGGACGCTGGAGGGAAGAGAAGGCGAGTGTGTGAGGAAGACGCCGATGACACCGACAACAATGACACCGATGATGATCACGACGACACTGACGGCAATGCCAACCCTATACGCCGTGACTACAGCTGTGTGCTTTACATGCGCATAGCCCATAAAGTCACCTTTAGCATCATGCGCTTCCTGTTCGCGAGGACCCACTTACATGAGACGCATGCCTGCGCTCTCGCTGCACCCTTGGGAAAAATACTATTTTATTCAATTGAAGGTGCGCATTTCGTGCGCGTTCGTGCACTAATCGCAGTGCACCGCTGCGCATCCCATGCGCAGATGCACTTGCCTGCAGCCAGTTTGCACGGTTTGCACCCCCTTATTTTCTCCAGTGGAAGCCGCGGTCGCGACGGCACTTTTGAAGTGGGCGATGGTTAGGACTTCTCCCTTTGCACAACAGCACTTTTGCGCTGCTGACGACGGCCTTGGGCACGGTCCGTGAGTCTCATTTCATCCGTCATACGTGGAGGATGTTTAAACCCGTCTATTTGCTCACACGGCCAGAGTTGGACATCCAACAACAAGTTGTCGAGGAGATGATGTGTGCGGCAATACGTGGCTCATGGCTTTCTGGCGAGCGGCTGTTGTCGGAGTCGTCGATTGAAGTCGTTTGATTAGGCGGCACGCAGGAAAAGGTGTGTCCTTGTTTAGGGGAGTCACTCTCTTACGCCTCTGATGCGGATACAAATTGCCCTGTTGTTTTCAGAGTCCCTCGTGTCTAGCACGTAGGCGCCCTTGCTCAGGGACATGAACTTGAGCAAACCGATCATGCTCTCCAGGCCCCGCTTGCGAAAGCCCGTTTTGTCTTCCTCTCCGGTGGTAGATCGCACTCGATGTCGACCGACGGCCACCTCCACCGGAAGGTTGGGTTCAGTGGGCCAAACTGCCAGTCGACGTTGAGGATCTCCTTCTCGATGTGGTCCTTGAGGTGGTCCTCGTCGACGGCACCGTCCTCCATGTCGATGAAGTTGTCGTCCTCCTCGCTGTCCGAGTCACCTATGCGCACGCAACTCACGCGTCGCAGTTGACGCAGGCAGAAGAACGCGCGCGTCGTGCTCCCCTCCACCATGCGAAAGAGGGGCCGTTTCACCGGGGGTGGCCTGTAATCGCGCAGGAGCTCCACCAGCACGTCACCGTGACACGATTGCGGCTTGCACCAGCATCCGAGGCATGTCTCGCAATCACATCCGCCGTACCAAGAGCCCCTATCACGCGCTGCCCGAGCTCGCGGGCAAAACGGCATGCCTCGCGCTCTTGGGGTGTGGCGTCCTTTTTGATGAAGTACGGGTTGTGCCACATGCTCTCCTCCAGATTGTAGCCACCCTTGACCCACGCACGACCAATGTAGTGCACGTCGTCCTTGTTGGCATGGGTGATGCGCACGACGCGGGGCAACCCGTACTGAGTCTTCTTCCTCGCGTCGCCAACGGCCTCGTGGGGCGTGCCGCCGCTGGTGGTGGGCGTCTTGCGTTTCAGGTAGGCATCCGATTCAATACTGCTACAAGCAGGTCTTCCACGATGAAATCCTCCCAGTCATCAGTGGACGACGAGTAGAGGCTCTTGAGGCACCGCGGGCAGCGCGCGATCCCGCCGTAGGAGCGGCCGGGGTCGATGGTGCTCCAGTCCTCGCGCCACCAGAGTTGATCGTAGTAGGCAAGGTGATCGGCGTGCGCAACCTCAAGATCGCCGACGCGTCCGTGCTCGCGGCGCAGGTGGGCGGCGGCAACGCGTTCACGGCCAACGTGATCAGCGCCCGTGCGGCAGACTTTGTGCTCCAAGACTTCTGATGAGGCCACTCTCACTTATGAGTTCTGGTTGGTTGAAAAATAACTAATGATCACATTTCTTGAAGGTTGGCACACAGAAAGCATTTATTGCGCAAAACAGGCTCAAGTCCAAGGAGTCGGTGGACTAATAGGGGCGTGTGTACTTGGTATAGCCGCCGGCGTACCCCCGGCACCCGGACACAGGGGGGTCGGGGAACCAGGTGATCTTCATGAAGCCCGCGTCGACCACGTCCACCACCACGTTCGTCTGCACTTTGATTATTAAATCTGGAGAATAACAGGAAATATAATATCAGTATCGGGGTGGGACGTGTACGTAGGAGCAAAACACGTTGGGGTTGTTGGCTTGCCACAGAGCGCCCTGGCCTAGGCCGTAGCCGCCGTAGAGGGTGGCCTTGATGGAGTACGGCACGCTGGCCGACTTGGTCGAGGGCAGAAGCAGCTGGTTGCCCTGCTGGACGAACTTGACGGCGTAGGTCTCGCCGCTGTCGTCGTACACCGACCACACGCCGGAGAGGTCGCCCGTAGTGTTGGCCCGGACAACCGCGTCGGAGAAAGTGGGCCTGTGGGTGGCGCCGGTGGCGCGGGCCACGGCCAAGCAGCATGCGAGAGCGAGCAGGACAGCAATAAGGGACGAAGAGGAGAACATGTTGGCGGGCCTGACTGGTGTTGGGGGAGCAAAAAATGAGGTCCATGCACACTGCTTTTTATTGTGCGCATCGACCTCCCCTATTGGTCAAAAGGAGATTTTCCAATTGGCCAGCCTCTCAAATGTTGTACTGCCGGAGACTTTTCTCTCTCACTCTCGCCGGAGACTTTTTCGGGGCTTCATCAACTCTTGCGAGAAGAGCAAGGGCCAAACATCTAGGATTGTTCGCCAATGTCGTCTTCGTAATCTTCCCATTTGGAGTTTGGCGAAAGGATCTCGCCTCCCCGGTCCTGCCCCAGCGGCGCTGGGATTGCAAGTGGGTGGCTTGTGGCTCCAGATCGTGGTGAGGCGTCCAACTGCCTCTGGCGTCTCTTCGGGTTCTAGTCTTTGTTGCTGGCGGCGGCCACTATAGCGTAGGGCTCAAGTTTGCCCACGCAGCGTTCTGCATTCATGATGGCGACGTTTCGCGCGGCGTTGGCGTCACGGTCGATGGTGTAGCCGCACCAACGGCACTCGAACCACTTGGTCAGGTTCTTGCACATGGCGGCCTCAATGTGGAAGCACTGGCCGCAGGTGATGGTGGTCTGGTGTTCAGACACCAGGTGCACCCAAACGCCCATTGACTGGGCCTTGTGCTGGAGGTGTTGGCAGAACTTGTAGTGCGACCCACTGCCGGGACGGTAGACGGTAAAAAGACCATGGTTTCCACCCGCCCACCTCTTTTCACCCGTTTTCCACCTTTTGAGGTGGTGAAATGGTGCACAGGCACACCTCGGTGGGCAAAAGGTGGCAAACAACACCTACCGGTTTCACCTTTCGTGCACCTTGGTGGACAGAAGGTGGAAAGTGTGGTCTCAAGATCACCTTCAGCGCACCTTGACCAGTGAGGTGCGAAGGAAGGTGAAAACGGTCACCACTAGCCTGTCACACAGAGATGAAAAAAGACAATTTCTCTGCATATGTACACCTTTATACAGTAAAATACAACACAATTAAGTACATAATACTTGAGTGGCACTGGTATGGGCTATCCTCAACAGGTCACAATGTGTGACTCAGTGGCAGACATCTATACAGTGCTGATCACTCTGCACATGAGAACAGTGTTAGTCTAAATGATCAATAAATGGAGAGAAGGGAGGAGCCATACTAAGGGTCTTGGAGGCACTGGTAGCAGCTTTAATGGCTTGCTGCAAGAACTGATTTGCAGGAGCAGCCCAGTCTGGCAGATCACAGACACTCTGCTTGAGCTTGTCTCTGTTGTGGTGGATTGCTGCAGCATAGCGCACCACACCACTCCAAGGAAGCACAGCACCATTAATGGAGGCAAGCCATTCTTGTTTACCTGTAAAGACTTGCGCATGGTTAGTACACCAAAAATAAAGGGAAGAGTGAATGCAATCATACTGCCAGTAACACATGATACTGTTTGCTTTGGGGCCTCATGTGCATGTTTTGTGAGAACTCATCTTTGTTTGCTCTTCCAAGTTTGTGTGGGCGCAATCTCACAGACTGAGTCATCTTGGCCTGGGTTGGCTCATCTTCATCCACAACTGCCAGCTGGGTTGCAGAACGCCCTGTCGACCTGGCCTTGCCCAGTTCAAGTGACATGTCATCTTTGAGCATTGCTTCACATGTGGGTGGCTGGTGTTGTGTCATGGCATTGCTGATGTGACCAGAATTGCGCTCCTGCAGTGTTGATGAGGTACACAACCACAGTCTTTTATTGTTGCATCTGGCAATGGCCAGAAGCTTGTGTTGTGTCCCCAAATCACACTTGTGCTTACGCATGAGCACTTCCTCTGAAGACACTGCCATCACCAGTTGGCTGCAAAGCAACAATTTGAGCTCTGGGTCCTCCAAGTCCTCCAAGTCCTCGTGACTGAACAGTTGGTGTTGACTTGGCCAGCTTGGTGACCACATTGTATGAACCCAGGCCAGTGCACCACACTCCATTTGACTTCTGCAAAAGAGCATGCAGACTTGACTAACAGTTTTTGCACAAGAAGAAGATGAACAAAAACCAACAAACATACCAGAGAGCTTGCCTTGTGAGGCACTCATGGAGCCCACACCTCAACATCCTCTGGGTGCAGGTCAGGTTGGCTCAACTCTTCCCCCTTGTTGCCAATCCCACCAACCTGCACAAAGGGAAAAAAAGGTAAACAAAGATTCAAATGGGCCATGGTGTCATGGGATTGTACCTGCTCCTCTTCCTGCTCCTCTTCCTGCCTGTCTTCCTCTTTGTCTAGAACAAAAATAAAAAATAAAAGCAATGTATACCAGCGTTCATAGATGTGGCCCTAGCACTGCCTATTTCAGACAATTGGAAGATAAAGCAAATTATTAATCACATAGAAGCAAAATTATGTCAATGATTTGAAGAGCTGTGAGCATACCATGTTCAGAGGTGCAGATTGGTGTGCTACTGGTTCTCTTCATGTTGATGGTGGCAATTGATGGGGCTACTTTGCTGGGGAGCAAGAGTGGAATGCCAATCTTGTAGCCAGTAGACCTGGGTGGATATTTCAATATATTCCCAGTTTGTGGAGGTTCAGTGGATTGCCTGTGGAAGCAGGGTCAGTATTTCCTGGTTTGTGGAGGTTCTGCAGATTGCCTGACAGACCAGAGCAGCGTTTTTGAATATTTTTGAGCCAGTTAGTGAATCGTGTGAGCAGAACAAGACATTAAAGGAATGCAAGTGCAGATGGAGCAAGTTGGCTTCCTTTTTCTTTTCTTTTCTTTCTTTTTCCCTTTTTTGCTTTGAATATTTTGCATTCTTCATCTGCGGAACCCACATGCTTGGTTCTGCAGATGGAGGGAAGGAGAACTGGAGGCTGTTTGGAATATTTACTTTTGACTGCATGAAATGACCGCTCTGACTGAGGCATTTGAGGAATGCCACATATGTTGACAAGAAGTGGCCACAGAAAGCAGCCCAAGACAGCCCAATCTTCTTTTCCTTACCACCCTCAGTGACACCATGCACATAGGGCTCTTCAAGAGGCAGGGAGAGCTTTGCCCTTTGATTTAATAAAACAGAGTGGGCCTCTGTGCCTTGATTTGTGTGCTGTAGACAATAGAGTGCACAATTCAATGAGTATGTGTGTTCATTGCTTTCAATTAGCTTTCCATTTCACTAATCTCACCTTTCTCCAGTGGCCAAGCCAAAATGCCCAAAAATGGAGTACATTTCCTCCCCATTACTGTCCCCCCAATGGGCTAATTGTGCAACCCATGCAGGTATGGCAGCATTGCCAAGTATCATCACCCCAAGGAGCGCAGAAATGCAATCCATGCCCATCACCATATGTCAAATTGACCTTTCCCATTACTTACTTCATTTTGGATTTCTAATGCCCTCAAGGGCTGATTGTGAGAGGAAGCTTCATCATTATGCAGGGAAGAACAAGTGGAAACAGATTTGCAAGGACATAGCACAATGGTGTGGCCTCAAGATGGTATGTCATTGTGTGATTGTGTGATTGTGTGATCATGTTGCTAACATTGTTTATCAACTGATGTTGCTGCAGGTGTACCTGCCAAATCTTTGTAGACTGACAAGACATCATTGACATCAATGATCAACATCTCTTCTTCAGCAATCATGTAGAATGGTACTATGTTGCTGTAATCTGCATGTGGTCATTTAACAACATGCACAAGGGCTTTAAAGCCTACACAAATGACCCAGATGGCACAATCAACAACTTCTACCACTGGCTCTTTGCACACCAGATTGACTTTGCTTTCAACCCAGACAAGGAGCATGTGCTCCTTTTTCAAATCTTTTCAATGTACTATCACAGGAGGTAATCACGCCTCCTGCTTCCTGTTATGTTTTTGCGCCTACTCACTTTCTTTCCACCCCTTCCTTCATCTGCTTAGATACAAGCAGAAGCAGATGAAGGAGGAGATGCAAAGGAAGATTGCTCACAACAAGTATGAGGCAAGCTCTCCATTGACAACACTTGCCTTGAGGTATGTGTGTTGTGTGTAAAGCTTCTTTTATTGTTTCTCAATTTGTTTTCATGTTGTGCACAAGACCAGCACAGCACTGAATACAAGATGCATGTGGAAGAAGAGGAAGAAGAGAAAGAAGGAGGTGAGGCGGTTGCCAAGGCTGCCAGCCTCCTCATGGTACCTTCCTTTCTTTACTCTTTACTTGTGTGCCTGATGCTCCTCCTTTGTGTATTTTGTACACAGGAGGCGCATGGTCTCAATGCTGAGATGATTTTGGCACGTGCAACGCACATGCTTGGTGGCTCTGAAGGGCTTGTTTTGTTTGGTGATGGTCCAAACACCAAGGCCCTTGCCTTCACCATCAACAATGGCCCCAAGGTGCTCATTTGTTGGCGCTTCAACAAGTGCATCAATTGTCTCATTGTGTTCAAGCCAAGTGGCCAAATCCTCTACATGAGATGCACTGTTTATTGGTGCTTGAGGACCATCACCTACTTTGATGAAGCATACAGCTTCATCAAGAGACAGTATCCTCCCTGTCCTATCCTCTTGTTTTGAACATCTCACAATTCCTTCTTCTCAGTTGTGTTGCTGGGACAGGAGATATGGAGCTCTTTTGTCCCACATGCTACTTCAAGATGACCAATGCACTCTTCTTTGGCAGCCATGACCTGCTTGGGCTGCTCTTTGCTTTGCTCCCCTCACACAACCTTCAATAAACATTTGTTTGCATGGGGGGGACAGTATGGAGAAGCAAAGTTGGTGCGCAGATTGTGGGATATGGGTCACTCATTGTGGCTGGCACAAACAATCTCAATGCCATGTCAAGGTGGCCAGAGAAATGCATATGCTTGCTCTCTCTTTTTGAGCTAACCTCTACATTCATAAAAGGTTAAAAGCAAGGCTCATTCAGGAACAGAAGTGCAAGCAACATGGTCAAGCAGCAAGAGTGACAGCAGCAGTGAAGAGTGAAGAGCAAGCAAAGAGTGAAGAGCAAGCAAAGAGTGAAGAGCAAGCAAAGAGTGAAGAGCAAGCAAACACATGACCTTGTGTCATAACGCCATACTGGTTCCAAGTGTATAGCTACTTGTTTTGTAGCCTGATTTTTGCTCTACAAGAATACAGTCAAACGCAGTTGATTCCATGATGTCGGCCTGATTTAAAAAATAAATACACAAAAAATAATTCTTGAAAATTCAAAGAAAATCAGAAAACTCGCTTCAACGATTTTATAAAAATAAAGGCATATCTAGAATGATGGGCAATTATCGATCAAGATGATATATACAACGTTATGACCAACATCAGAAAGGTCAAAAAGTACCTGAATTAGACCCCTAAACCCTAAGAGACAAGACTGAGGAGGATCTCTTCTGGAAGCTACACCAAGAGCTCGAAGCAGACTATGTCTCCCCGAGCGATCCAGCCTCGCACTCTGAGAGGACCGCTGCCAGGTGAAGGTGTTCCTGGACTCATGCCCCAACAAGGTTGACTACGACAGCTTCCAGTCCTTCTGGCCCCCTCATCCCCCTCTAACGCCAGCGCTACTTCCCCCCCCCTTCCCTCACAAACCTCCGTGACTCCTCTTCCTCTCAACATAGCTTCACGAGCACACGCAAGTGGTTCTCTTTAATTTATATTTTAGGGGAGAGCAACGGAGAGCGGCAAGCTCAGTGGTAGACGGGCTTGGTTCGACTGCCAAAGCAGCGCTTGATGTAGTAGCCGAGCGACGGACGGTTTCGCTTGATCCAGAACATGGATAGGAAAATGATCACGCGCAACACTGGTGTACCAGCCAACAGTGAGTTATCATGTCCTTTGGCTTACATGAACAAGCTATGGCACACGTACGAAGATAGTAGCAGAACACGATGACGACGTTTTCCCAGGGGTTCTGCGGCCAGAGCTCGTCCAGCTTCTTCTCGTCCTGTACACCACACCCCCCGGCCCCCCAGGTGAGGTTCGCAATTATCTCGGGGAGGGGGAGGGGGGCTAGCGGTCACTAGAGAGAGAGAGGAGAGAGAGAGAGCGTAGGCGTTACGTACCTCTCCGCTGAGCCGGCCCTTGAACTCGTGGAGGGTGAGGCCGTTGATCATGTAGGACATGGGGTTGATCGCGTAGGCCCAGTTGTAGACCGGAGGCAGGTCGCTCGGCAGCACGAGCACGCCGCACGTCAGACCAATCACCACGCCGCAGAAACCGTAGGCACTGCAAACGCACAGACGACACACGCAGGAGAGATGGAGTAAGCAAGAGATGAAGACGGGGGAGGCAGCTAGCGAGGCTCTCCAGTAGCCCTGCGCCTGGTGACACACCTGTGCGAGTAGGACTCGTCCCACACGAGGGTGCAGGTGAGGATACGGGCGACGGAGATGAAGCACTGCGCGCCGAGGTAGTAGATGATGAAGGCGTACAGCCACCCGTCGAAGGAGTGGTCGAACGGCACGATCGGGTAAAAGATCGACGAGAAGGTGAGGGCGATGAAGAAGTATTTCAGCAGGTCGGTCACGATCGTCTCGGCGATGAACAGCGGTAACAGCCGGTAGTAGCCGTTATTCAATTCATGCCTACCCGGGTAATATGCGACACGGTCAGCGCACACACCGCACACATCGCAAAGCTGTCAAAGGGAAGAAAAGTACCGGAAGAATTCGTTGTCGGTGTACCACCTGTGGAGCGAGAAGGAGGGCAGATCGACGACGTAGAAGCAGCCGAGGAAGTAGGCGTTACGCAGGAAGAGGAAGTCCGAGGTCGAGATGTAGCGGAACATGAGCGCCGCCACGGTGGCCACGGCCGCGCCTGTTGCACGCCGCACACGCGAGAGGTGTGACCTCGTCAGCTACCCGGCGCATTGGGCGAGCGCACTTCGACAAAGCCTCCACAAAACATTGGTGTTGCACGCGGAGCGCTGCGATGGAGTACCGATGAAGAGGAGCATCCAGCTGTTGGCTCCGTCGCGCACGTTGATCAACATGCTGCGGTACATGAGCACCAGGAACTGCATGCTGATGGGGGCGCCCTGTTGCCCGTCATCGTCCTGGTTGAAGTCGTCATTGAGGAAGCTGTCGTCCTCAAGGCCCAGCTCGGGCAGGCCCTGGTCCTCCTGGAGCTGTGCGTACTTGCCGTTCTTCCCCTTGCCGGCCTGCTGCTGCTTCTTCTTGGCCGCCGCGCTCAGGTCGGCCTCCACGAAGCCCGAGGCCTTGCTGCTCTCCGGCGCATCGAGCGAGCTCTCTTCCTCCCCCTCCTCCGTGACCTGGGGCAGATCGCTCTCGTCCCACTCCGGGAACTCACCGCGGCACGCCAGGTCCACTGTAGTCACGCGCAGCAGCGCGCTCGGGTCAGTCTTGCGTTGACCCGGCTGTGTTGTGGTGTGTGTGTGTGTGTGTGTGTGTGTGTGTGTGTGTGTGTGTGTGTGTGTGTGTGTGTGGTACACGTACCCATGAAGTCGGCGGAGGACATGCCCTTGGGCACGACGAGGCCGTGGAGGGTGAAGAAGGCCTGGAGCTGCTGCTGCGACCCGAAGAAGAGCATGCGGCCCTCGTAGAAGAGCATCACGTGCGTGAACATCTGGAAGATCTCCTCGCGCGGCTGGTGGATGGAGGTGATCACCAGCCGGTTGTCCATCGCCAGCTCGCGCAGGAGCTCCATGACGTAGTAGGCTGAGTGCGCGTCCAGACCCGACGTCGGCTCGTCGAGAAACAGAATCTCTGGAGACCGCCATCAGCGAAACATGTGAGTGATGCGTGGCGGCGGTGGCTACCAATCAAAGAGTAATAATGAGGGACACGAACTGGAGTTTTTGAGGAGCTCGATGCCGATAGCCAGGCGCCGGCGCTCACCGCCCGAGAGACCCTCCTCTGTGTCGCCGATCATCGAATTCTTCACCTTGAGCAGGCCGATGGCACGCAGGACTTGCTTGACCTTCAGTTGTCCAATATTGAAGTGTTGTGTGTGGGTGTTGAAGTCAGCGTCATCACAACTGAGCGAGTGCTATGCACGTCACCAGAGCTCGGAAGGGGCACCCTCTGCTTCTTCTGCTGGTAGCTGAGCGTGCGCGGCAGGCCGAGCAGGGCGGAGAACATGAGGGCCTCCCACACGGTCAGGTTCGGGTGCAGCTTCTCGTGCTGCAGCACATACCCGAACTCCCTGTACGTTTAACACACACACGAAAGAGGCGTGGAGGAGTAAGATGAGAGTCCCGTAACAACCTGCGGGTACGCTGAGCCAAGGGCAAGGGAACCTGGCCAGCTTGGGTGTCAGGGGCTGACCGTCGACCACTACCGAACCTCTGATGTTGTAAGCCGAGTGGTCGGCATGGCCTGACACAGTCCTGAGGACAACCACGCGCACAAATAGGGATGGAGGATGAGTTGAATGCATGAAAGGTACAGAAGAAGAAGAAGAAGAAGAAGAAGAAGAAGAAGAAGAAGAAGAAGAAGAAAGAGCGAACACAGAAGGTAGTCGCTACGAACCTGATGAAGGTGGTTTTGCCACCACCAGAGGGACCGAGCACCGCCACCATCGCCGGGGCCTGTAATTACGGTGGGGTCAGGTGAGTCGCCTATTGTACTTATGAACAAAAAACTCACAATAAATAAATGATAAAAATTCAAAGTATAAAGCAGACGCAGCCGATCTGTTATTGCATTGAGACAAGGGGGGCTAAGGGGGTTCATGGACCTGAAGTTTGCCATTGAGGTCGCGTAGGATGTGCTTGGGGGCGGCCTTGGCACCACCACACCAGCCCTGGAAGGTTGAAGGCGGAATGTAGACATTCAGGTGATTGAATTCGATCGCCGAACCTCTGGCTCCGGGTGTTGACGCCAGGCTCGACGCTACGGACGACGAGGCCGAAGAGGAGAAGGCCGACGGGGAAGATGAGCCGACGCCGCTTCCCGCCCCTCCGTCATCGAGATGGTCGATGTCCTCCATTTCCCCTGAATCGGTGCGCATTCGAACCAATTCACTTCCCTCTTCCTCCTCGAAGTCGTGCGGATCCATACGTCCTCTTTCTCTCTCGGATCGCTCTATGTGGTTCGTGTGGCCGAGACGTACGAAAGGGCAAAGATGAACGCCGAAATCAGATCAGATCAAAAGAAAAAACGGCGTTCCAAACATTCCGAGAATGTCGCCGACGCGTCGGAGCTGCGGAGCGCCAGGGATTGGCAGCCCCGCGAAGAAACCGGGGCAGCGTGACAACAGCATTTAGCACTGGGCCGTTGCAGCCAGACGGGTCCGCGTGGCCCCACAGTTAAGGTGGTCAGTAGCGCTTACTGTCGAGAAGAGCTTCGATCTGCTTCACCACAGCCCTGAAAGGTGGTCGTCTCTGCGGCTGTGTTCGAGCACACGCAGAGACATGTAAGCCTCAATCGACGCAAAACAAAACATCGCCACCTACACCGACAACGGCAACGAGTGGAGGGGATACGAACGTTCGGGTCCCAGCAGTCTTGGATGAGATCAGCGAACTCGGGCGGGCAGTTGCCCGGGATGGTTGGTCGGAGGTTGTCCTCGATGATCGCCCTGTGATCGATGCGGTACACGAAGATCACAGATCACGGGTGTGAGTTAGGCCGGCATTCGGGCTAAAAACTACAACGTCGACATGCGGGGCGGGTGGGTACCTCTGGCAGTCCTTCTCCTGGAAGTAGCCGTTGCGCTGGAACCGCTCCCAGTACTCGTCGAGGAAAGGCGTCTGGCGCGAGGCCATCTCCCACAGGACGATGGCGAAGCTGTAGATGTCGGCTCGCTCATCGTACTCGAGCTGCTCGAAGTTGAGCACCTCCGGAGCCAACCTTGGGGGGAGGCATGTGAGCAACTAACGATCCAGGGTTTCCAGAGCAGGAGAACGTCTATCTACCATTGCCATGTTCGAAGCGCTTCGTAGAGCTTAGGATTGACATGCCGCGCAAGCCCTGCGAGCAACGAACGTGAGATGTGCACTGCCGCGGGGCCGAATCGCAAGTCAAAGCAGAGCGCATGCGTACCAAAGTCGCCGACCTTGGCCAGAACCGGTGCCGTCACGTCCATGCTCACCAACTGCAGGTTGGGGGGAGGGAGAATGGGGCGTCAGCACATAGTCATCACACTGGTCGGGGAGGGGACACCGTACGAAGATGTTGGGCGAGCGCAGGTCGCGATGGACGATCGGAGGCTGGAAGGAGTGCAGGTGCGACAGGCCCTTGGCGATGTCGAGCGCTATGCGCCAGCGCAGCGACCACGGGATCTTGTCGTCCGGCACCGGCTCGTCTCCCTACAGAGAGAGAGACCCGCGAGAGCGCACACGTAAGGATCTAGCCAGCTGGGTCTGGGAATGTGTAGAATGCACACCTTCTTGAGGCAGGCGCTGGGGAAGAGGCCCTTCTCGCAATAGGAAGTCTCCACCTGGGCCAAGCCGGTCTCCTCGTCCTCGCTGACCACCACCACACGGTCGCCCATCACCAGCGGCAGCATGCGCTCGTGCTCCGTGTCATCTCGCCCGAACCCAGATAGGAGGCGACCTACACGCGCCGTTGCCAGAATGCATCATACGGAGAGGAATGTCAGGAATGTCACACAATGCGCGAAGGGTTAGGGTGTGGCGTACGTTTGCGGAGGGAGAGGGGAAGGTTGTGGGTGGAGTGGTTGCAGCGAACGGTGCCCTTCTGGCGGCTGTTGAGGAGGCGGTGGAGGTCGCCCTTGGGCGCGTACTCCATCACCATTGCCAGAGGGTTCATCTGCACGCCATAGAGGCTCACCACGTTGGGGTGGTCCAGGCAGCTGCCGCCCAAAAACACCACACCAAGTCGCGGTCAGACAACAACAATCAAAATCTTTTGATGAGAGAGCGACAACAGCTCACCTCATGATGAAGGCCTCGTGCTTGAACTCGTCGAACTTCTTGATCCTGTATTTGGCCTCCTCCTCTTTCTCCAGTCCTGTCTGTGGAGGCGAGACCAGGTGAGAGTGAAGATGAGTGACGCACAGGTCAACCGAGCCACACTCAGCGGCGCAACACTCCGCGATGAGGAGGTCATACCCGCTCGTGGAGCTGTTTGACGGCCACCGCCTTGCCGTGCCAGAATCCCTTGAGCACGGCGCCGAAGCCTCCCTCGCCGATCTTGCACGCGACCGTCAGCTCCTCCGGCAATACCGTCCTGTTGGTTTGTTGTTCACGCGACTCAATGTCAGCATACCGTCCCAGAGGGGAACAGAGTGGTTTGTTTTTGTTTTTGTTTTTGGGAGAGTACCGAACAGAGGCCATGGCCACGTCGGGAGCGATGAGAGCCAGCGGCAGCTGGTGGCCGTCGCAGTTGACCACCTTGCGCCCCTTCATGGCCGCCTTGACGGCCTTGCTATAGGGAATGCAGTGCATCGTCATCTCCGACCCGTCCAACGACGACGCCGAGCGGAGCTTCCCCTTGCCAGCCGCCGCTGCATCGTCAACGGCGGCGGCGGCCGTAGTGCCCGCCTCCTTGTCGACAGTCGACGGAATGTCGGCCGGGCCTTCTTCGTCCTCCTCCGACAGCCAATAGGGAATGAGCTTCCGCGTCTCGAGGCCTGGCCACGTGTCGACAACACACAATCAGCCGCAACTCATGACACACACCGCACATGCGCACACGCGCGTTGGCGAAAAATGAGAGCAACATACCGGCAAAGCCCGCGAAGAGGGTGTCGGTGATGTAGACCAGCTTCTCGAGGAGGGCCACCACGCCGCCTTCCGTGGACTGCGAGCTGGAGGAGGCAGATGACGAAGAAGAGGAAGAGGAGACGGCAGAGAGGTCGGTGCTCAGTTCGTCCTTGTGACCCCGCATGAAGAACACGAGCTCGTTCTGCGGCTCGGACTTCTGCTCGAAGAAGGCCCGGACGAGGCACGGGTTGCGGGTCGCAGAGTCACCGTCCACCGTGTGATCGTGATCGCCCTTGTTGGTGCTGGTGATGAACTCCATCACGAAGCCCGTTCGCCATGCCGCGATCAACCTGTGTACGCACACAACACACAACGTCCGTGATGTGACGCCACACGCACGGCGTCGACACATCGTCGCCGTCAGCCATGCACACGTTTGTCTGTGGCGTGTTTCCCAGAAAGCCCAGTGCGTACCTCGTCTTCGGAACATGCAATATGCGGACCATCAGACGAGCAAAGAGACCGACGGGGATGAACGACAGCAGGTAGCGCCTACCGAACGCGATCATGCCACGACCTGCAGGCCGTCGACGATCCGCATATGATGTTCAGGTCACGTACCGCACGAGCACACGGATGAAGTGTGGTGGAGTGCGAGGTGTGTGCGGTATGTGCGTACCAGCCCTGGCATAGTAGGAGGTCCACTCGCGATCGAGCGCGTCGGCGGGACACTCCTCAGGCAGAAGCGATGGGACGATGATGTCGGCGCCCGTTCGCTTCTCGGCCTTGGCCCTCTCCTCCTCGCTGGCCGACAGTCGCCTGGCGATTCTGATCTTGAACGCGATCTGTGTGCCCCCGAGACGAGATTGTGAGAATAAATGGTTTGGTAGACAGATAAGGCCACTCCACACCACGACTATGACGACGAGACGGACCTGGAATCGCTCGAAGATGCGGAGGAGCAACGGGTGCAGATAGCGCGGGAAGTCGAGCCAGACCCAGTGCAGCTGCTTTTCGTTGAGGATGCCATTGCGCACCCACTTGTTGCTGAATGACACCACACTCTGCGCAGCAGATTGAGTGCGGGCGCGTTGGCATGGTGAGCTCGTGACGTTAGCACTGTGAGAGCGCTCCCAGGGGGCCTAAGAAAGATACCTTCATGACGGAGGCCAACCACTGCGGGTTGATAATGACCAAGTCCCGCAGGCCGCCGAAGGCCTCCTCGAAGTGAATGAGCAGCCCCACGTCGTGGAAGAAAGACACCATCACGTGCTACGCCAGACACACGCGACACACGACACACGACACACGACACACGACACACGACACACGACACACGACACACGACACACGACACACGACACACGACACACGACACACGACACACGACACACCACCGCATGCTAGTGTCAGTTCTCCGGAGTCAGATGCAGAGAGAGTTGTGCAGCAATGCACGTACCATGTCGGCAGACGAGGTGATGCCACAGTTGCGAGCCACCCGGTCGAGGTCGTCCCAGGAGATGAAGTTGAGGGGCTGGTCGGTGGTCACGCCGCCAGAGGACCATAGGTCCCCTTTGCCCTCCTTCTCGGTCGACGACACCACCGCGGGAAGGTCCGACGTCGACTGAACCGCGCGCAGATTGCCGCGCGACGATCGACCTGCGCACGTTGTCGCGGGTCAGCCGACACTAAAAAAGCGAAAGCCAAAGTGCGTGTTACGTACCGTTACGCATGTTGATGATGGCGTTGTAGAAGCGGTGGTAGGAAGTGGGAATGACAGCTCGAAGGAAAGAGTGTCTCTGCGCGATCGAGATCATCTTCTCGACGAGCTCCGGCAGGCCCGCCCCCGTGGCACTGCTGACGAACACCACCTCCCGGATATTCGAATCTTGCCTGTGTCGCAGTCAATTGTCAACGGGTGTGAACGGAGCTAAAATAATGACGACGCACAGAAATGCGCCTTTTAGGTCCGAACCTTTTGAGCTGTCGGGCGAGGTTTTGGAGGGCGTCGGTGTCGACGTCCGGGTGGTCGATGTGTGTGCCGACCAGGAGTATGGGCGTCTCGAGCCCCTTGGTCGACACCCGGATCTGGTTGACCCAGTACTTGATCGACGCCGTGGCCTTCTCGCCCTCAGCCGCGTTGAACACCACCAGGTAGATGCTCCTCGCCGTCAGGAAGAACTGTTGTATGGCGAAATAAATCGGCCCAAGCGTGCATGAGCCTCCCATCACAATCGCGAGCGAGCGAGCGACGTCGGGGGGGAGGACTTCAGCCTATTCGCACCTGATGCGTGGGGTAGAACACCTCCTGGCCTCCGAAGTCGTAGGTCTGAAATATGACATTGGCTCGCTCCCGCCTCTTGGACTTGCCCTTCGACTGTGTGTTTTGAGCTGGATCGCGCCACCATCATCAACACCACGCACACGAAAACCCCGAACGTATGAGCAAACGGCCGTGGGACCAGCACTGGCTGGGAGGGTGGCGCGTACCAACGACGGAGATCTCCTTTCGCTTGGCGTAGTGTTCGGTGGACAACTCGCCCAGGGCAATGCCATCTGTGCTCAGTGTCCGCATGAACGTTGTGGCCTGCGCGCACACGTGAAGAACATTTCAGGTGATCGTGAGAGGAGACAAACACGAGACCGGTGGGCGTGGACGTGGACGACGTGTTGCGCACCTGCGATTGCCGCTCGCTGACCTTGACGGTGATCTTGGAGTCGGATGTGTAGTGGAGCTGCCCGCTGAAGAAGATGGCCGACGAAGAGGACGAGCCCGCGGCGAGTGAGGTCGAACTGTGCATGGCCGACGGCGCCGAGTGGGCCATGAACGCCTGCAGGGCTTGCAGCAGGGACGTCTTCCCCACGTTCTCCTTGCCCACAAACAGCAGCTTCACCCGTCGCCAGGGCTCTCCCTTGCTTTTGTCCAACTCCTACCGACCATCAACCCCATCAGCAACTGTGCGTGTGCGTGTGCGTGTGCGTGTGCGTGTGCGTGTGCGTGTGCGTGTGCGTGTGCGTGTGCGTGTGCGTGTGCGGTGGGTGAACGCGGTTACCCGCAGATAGGAGAGGAGGCCGCTGAGCTTTCCCTTTCTGATTTCAGCAGGGATGCTCTCGAGCGGGTTGGCATCGAGCAGGAGCTTCTTGAGATTGCTGAAGTGGCCCAGGTAGGTGGGCAGGTAGGTCAGCTCATTATGCGAGAGGTCCAACCGCTCCACTCCTGCGCACAGATGTGGGGTGAGACACGAAGAGCGGTATTATATACAATGAGTGTCGGGACCGCTACCGGAGAAGTATTTGACCCATCGGGGTACTTTCTTGAGTCGCTTGTTCGACAGGTTGAGCTTCTTCAACCTCTTCAGTTTCTTGACGGCCTGTATTTAGCATTTGAAGAAGAAGAGGTGTTGTGGGGGTTTGGTCAAGTGGGCTGTTGGGAATGCGAGGATGAGAACGTACGGCCTGGGTGGGAATCGCGCCGTGCTCCAACAGAGCGACGATGCCCTCCGTGTTCTTCCGAAGCGCACACAGCTCGATTGGACCCTGGACCATCGACGACGAAAGAAGGAATGTCAAGAATGCGCAACTTTAGCTTGGGGAGTGGTCACTCGCGTGCTATTCTCCTCTGGGAGCTCAATGTACCTCCTATCGATAGAAAAAGGGAAGAGGAGTAAGCTGTCGGTCAGTGTGCATAGCAAAAGGAAGAAATGCGCTGATGAGAGAAGGAAAGAGGGCGCAAGACGCACCATCGCAACGCCCATTTCCTGATGGCGTCCCACATCCGTTGCCAACAGGTAACCGATTAGGATTAGGAGAAGGAGAGTAGGAAAATGAGGGTAAGAAGCGAGGCGACACATTCACGCGACACACAGCTTAGGATGTCGACATCGACACGCTAGCCTATTGATGGAGGCGCTTGCACGCGTACCCTCTGAAATATGGAGAGAAGGTGCGGAGCAAAATAGAGGGTAAGGCTCGGAGTTAGGTGGGGGATACAGCAGTCCGAGGTAATAAGTGCGGGCCGTACGGTCATCGGGAGAATGTTGGGATCGGCGCCGTTGTTCAGCAGGTAGCGAATCAGCTCCACCGAGCCTCTCTCGCACGCAGCATGGAAAGGCGTCTCCATCTGATGACCAACCATCACCGCGGAAACACGTGTGAGAACAAAACTGCCCAAATTGCCAAAAGGAGGGCATCGCGCATACCGTCTTTGGTGGCGAGAGCGGAGGAGGCGATTGTGGATAAGAGATGCATGCATGAAGCGAGGGGTGAGTCACAAGCTGTTGGGGTATTCATCACGACAGCGGCAAAAGGCCCGTACCATCTGTGAGGCGACAGAAAACGGAGAGTGAGTAAGTGTCTTGCACGCATGAAACTGGGGGAGGGAATGGGTGCAGCTTCTACGTACATCCTAAAGGAGACGAGTAACGATGACAGGGGCAAATCAAAAATGAAGGTGCGAGGGTAAGCTAATGAGTTCGTATAGATTGCCCGGCAATCAGCAAAGGCGAACACGTACAGTCTGCCGAGGGGGGTAGAAATGACCCGATTAGCCTTTGCTTCGACATTAGCGATATTGTGCGGGATTGGGTGGGTACCATCTAATCGGGGAGAGGTAACGATGCGGGTCACCAATCAGAAAGAGGAAAGGGAAAAGAGGAAAAGAAAGGTTAGACGAGAACGAGATCGACAACTGAGCGAGAAAGCAGAGGCAAGGCCGTACGCTCTGCAGAGGATAGGAGGAGACGAGAGAAAGAGAGAGAGAGAAGTGGTGTTTGTCAGCGAAACCGTTCATTACCTGCAGCTCGCCGAGGGGGGAGGGGAATCGTACATCATCCTGCGTACGGAGGCGCCGAGTTGAAGGAATCAATGTAGGGAAGGAAGAGCCGGAAGAGACGGATCGTGAGTGATTACGCCCAATTGGTGTTGACGATGGCCATCGAGAACAAAAACGTACCAGCTGCACACACGGGAGAGGAGAGAATGGTTAAGAAATCGGAACAAAGCAGGTAAGCCCTAAGGGAAGTACCGTTTGAAAGTTCCACTAAGCGACGCGCATCAGATAATCATCGCACGATGCCACACGCGCAGGCGTTCAAGCGCACAAACAAACAAGTAATGGAGAGAGAGAGCAAGGGTCAGTGTTTCAAGAGCAGGGGTGCGATCAGGCTACCGCTCCAAGTGATGCCCTCCCGCCAGCCACGCGTCGAAGCCACTTACTCTCTGTCGTTGAAAATGTGAGAAAACGGGCCATCATGATGATAATAATAAAAGACGATAATAACAATGTTGAATGGAATGCGAAGGCGTTGCGTACCCTCTGTAGAGTGGGGCGACACCGCGGATACAATTACGTGATTGAGGAGAGACGAGTTTTATGGTCAGATGTGTCACCACCGGGAAGACGTCCAACATGACGACAAACACTGTGCTACGTACTCCCTATGTGATACATCACAACAGATACGTCACACGGTTAGCCAATTTGCATGCTGCGCTTCGCCTGTGGGTGTCGGTACAGTTTCGGCGTTGACATCGGCTCCCTTTTCCACCAGCAGACGGACCACGTCCAGCCTGCCTCGCTCGCATGCCAGATACAGTGGTGTCTAACCAAAAGAAAGAAAGAAAAGAATTAGCGCCAACCCAAGCGAATTGGGACATGACGCGACACTCGCAGAGAAGCTCCGCGCGACGGACGGAAACGAAGCACGAGAAGGGTGGGAGCACGTACGCGCTGAAGGCAGTTACAATCGGTGGTGGCAATTCGAGTTTCCAGGAGGAGAAGTAGTAGTAGGGGAAGAGAACGGTCGGAGTCAGTGTGGGTGTGGGTGTGTGTGTGGTGTGGTGTGGGAGGGGTCAGAGTGCTTACCTCCTGCGTGGGTGTAGCAACACCAGAATAGATAAGAGAACACAAGAACAGATACAAATGCACGAGTGGTGGTTAGTAGTTGGCTCAGTTGTGGCGCTGCTCCGGCTAGCCTCGCGAGAGGCGAGTGGTCACAGGTGCCGCCTGTGCGTCCCGGGAGCGAGGTCGCGGGAAGGCCAGCCGGCAGCGTACCATCTCCTGCTCCGGAGAGAAGGCACCACAAGCCCGTGATGATCAGTTATGGCCCAAAAATAGCAACAAATAACAAAAGAGATAAATAAAAAATACAGGAGGAGATAGCATGACCAAAAGCGTCGATAGGGCAGAAATGCCCGCCGGGGCCAAGAAGAAGAACCAATGCGTTCACCCGTGAGTTCACCAGGCCCCGGTGTGCCCACGTCCACGAGGGGCGGGATGATGAAGAAAAAGAAGGAGAAGGGGAAGGAAAGGGATTTTGGATGGGGTAGTACCTCCGTCTGGTAGAGGTGGTTGACGTCGGCCCCGAGGCTGATGGCTTCGGCTACGCGGTGTGGGTCGTCGGCGAGGATGGCCCGTTGCAGCTGTCGCAGCCGCGGGGTCTGCTCGTCGGCCCGCAGCGCCTTCTTGTTGTTCATCTTCTTGTCGTCGCCCTCGGGCACCACCTTCTTGCTTGCACCTCGGCCGCCGCTGCTCTGGCTGCTGCCTAACTTGACAGTGGTGCCGATGGCGCTCACGCTGCTGAGCAGCTCCTTCCCCTTCTCCTTCTTCGTTCGCTCTACGTCATCTTTGCTGTACTGCACACCCCGCTGCTGCCCCTTCTTCCCGCTGCCGCCACCGCCACTATTCATCTCCAACGTTGTTGTCGTTAAAGTAGTCGTCGCGGCGGGCTTGTTGTTCACATCCACCGGATCGAAGCGCAGCTGCTCCTTGGCCTTTTGCTTTCGATCGATGCCGCGCCCGCCCAGCGCAGATGCAGAGGATGAGAGGGATTTCACGCGACTCGCCTTTACCTTCATCTTCTTCGTCTTCCCATCCGACCCCAACGTCGCCGTTGTGTCCTCCTCCTCCTCCTCTTCCCCGTTTTTGAGCGTCGTCGTTTTCGATGCAGATGACTTGCTGCTGCTGTCCATCTTCTTCTTCTTATTCTTCCTTTCGTTGTTTTCTATGTCTGCCTCCGCTGAGAATACGAGGCTCCGCATTGTCCGTCGGCCTTGGACTCCAAGTTGCTCTCCGTCGCCACCTCTCGAGCCGGTTGTGATGGTGATAGTTTGATTTGTTGTGCTACTCGGCTTGACCTCCGCGCCAGTCTCTTCCTCCCTGCCTCCTCCTACATCCCCCAACTCCTTCATGCTATTCCGCCTTTGGTGCTTCTGCTTCTTCTGCTGGTGCTGGTGATGGAGTTCGTATCCGCCGCTTTTGCTTTCGCCTTGGTCGTTGCTATCGTTTTGTGTCGTCGCCTTGTCACCCCACCCGCCGCTCTCCTTCATTCTTTTTGGCTCTGTCGCGGCTTCGTTCTTTTTTCTTTCCTCGGCACCCGTTCGTTGCCGGATAAACTCGCCTTGGTTCTGGGCCAACCCGCACAACCCCGCGCTCGCTCACGAGCGACCACGCAACCCGCCCACCACGCCGTGGCTGCGCACTGCGCACAGATCGTGGTCAGGCGGTAGTGTGCCCTGGAACACTTGAGGCAAGGTGGACCGCACTCAAAAAGATCAACACTTGCCAACACCTCTCCGTGTGGGAAGGGGGTCGGTCATGGCCTGTGTTATCAGCAGAGCGACAGGGGAATCTCAATTTTCCGTTGCTGGCCGGAAAATGGTGGGGCTGCTAGCCAACGGCAAAGACAACCTAAACAAGGTAAAGGCCCGCGCCGGATGCGATTGGTTGTGGGCCGGGTTGATTGGCGGGGTAATTTGGGCGAGGAGCTGTTCGCTGTCTCCTGGTGGTGGGCGCTCAGTTGGGGGGTTGAGTATTCAGTGCATCTATTCGAACACTGGGAGGGCCTGGTAGCTGTCGTGCACTGCCCCATTGTCGCTGCGACGGCAGCAGAAGAAGCACGCTGCGTGGCAAGTGCGGGGAAAGACGAGTGAGGACATTGTTGAGCTCAACAGAGAGAGGGAGAATAGGGTTTTGACCTGCAAAGCATGGGAAGACGCCTCGCTTGAGCCAGCAGAAGTACGGCAGGATGACAAACGCATTGGCCGAGCCGAGCAACGAGACCAGCCCCACTGTCGCCCACCGCAGTTCCGGTGGCTGGCGCGCGCACACACACAAGAGGTCAGACTTGGATCATTGGGGGCCTCCAAAATCATGATCACGATCAGCGCGCACAAATGGGCTGGTGACTAGCACTATGCCCAGGCAGAGTGTGGGAAACGTACACACTTGTAGTCGGAGTAGAGCCAGAGGACGCCCCACGAACAATAGACGATCCAGAAGAAGGAGCCCACAAAGGCGATCATGTTGCCCAGGACCATCAGCCGCTTTCGCCATTTCGGCTTGGCCCACACCTCCCACCTGAACGCAACGACGCATGAGGCACAGCGTCATCATCGTATGCACACTCGCGCCCAACACAAAGCAAGAACAAGCGAAGGAGAGAGGGCAATTACGAGTTTCGTGGTGGCTTGGTGATCTTGTAGATGCCATACGGCAGCTGGAAGGAAAACACGAAGCCGTGTATGAACAGGGCAATGGCTGCGACCAACAGCCACAGCTTCAGCGGTCGCTGGCACACACTGCACGCGCGTGCCCAGAAAGCCATGATCAACGGCGTTGTAACGAAGGCGCACAACAAAGTGAGAGCCCTCGCACCTTTGGAAGAACGCGACGTCAATGTACACGATGACTGCCGCCAGCTGCAGTGTGTGGAGACAATGAACAAGAAGGTGAGCGGGGTTTCCTTTTGCCGTTAATGGGGAATGGGGAAGGAGAAGGACAGCAGACGAAGGTGAGGGTGGAGCGGCACCGCAAAGGAGAAGAGGGCGCCGGTGGCTGGATAGATGAAGAAGTTGAACACCCGATAGCTTCGCTGCTTCTTTATCCGCTGTACATCATCTTCCAAGGGCGAGCACACCTTCATCTCTCTCTCTCTCAGCCAATTCTTGTGGACGTGAAATCCCGTATTATCTTGCATTCAGGCATGTGCGTGGCGGTAACGGCGAAACATCACAAATGGCGAGCAGCGGATGTGAGAAATGGAGACGCGATTTCGAAAATAGAAATTTGTAGTACAAAATCAAGTACCAAATCGTTAGGAATGAGTTGAGCAGGAGGAGTCTGTCGTTGAGGTCGGTGCACTACCCACCCTGAGGCGCAAGTCCTGCCGCTGCCACTACCAATAATGCAATAATGATTGATTTATCGGTAATGGACAATAAAAAAAATTATAACACACCAAAATAGAAAATAAATAATTTACTCCTTCCTCCGCGTGAGACAATGTAATTACAACAGTTGGGGTGTGGGTGTGTGTGGAAGCGAAACTGACGAGGATCGTCAGAAGGAGCCTGTCTCCTCCACGCTCTTGGTCGGAGACGTCGATGTCGAGGTCGACCCGGGGAGTGGCTGGTGTGGCGGCGAGGATGACATTGTGGTGGCGGTCGTCGTCGTAATGGCGGTTGGGCTATTGGTGGTGGCTGCCGCAGTCGTGGTCGTGGCGGTCTGCTGGAATCCGCCGCCAGGCGCGGCCTGGACGAGGAGTGAAGGCAGCGTGGGGATGGAGGGCAGTGTCGAGATGGAGGGGAGGGAGTGGATCTGCGGTGGCAGGGAGGACGACGAGATGGAGGGGATGGAGAAGCTGGTGAGCGCGGTGGCGTTTGTACAGTGCGAGCAGGGGCACGGGGCGGCCACTTGTGGCAGCGAGAAGATGACATAGGACGACCCGGGCGAGCCCGAGATGGGCGCCGAGAGCGTGGCCTGCCCTGCGCCCGGCGGGGCCGCGGCGAACTGCATGCCCGGCGGGATGGTGAAGGGCGAGGAGGCCGTCGAGGTGGGCGACGTCGAGAGGGAGGAGGAGGACGAGCCGAGCGAGCTGTGCATGCCGGGTTGCGGGTGCGGCGGCGAATGAGCGCGTCCATGACCGCGATGCGCGGAAGAGAAAGAGTGATCAGGATGGTTGCCGTGTGAAATCTCTATGGGCATGCCAGATGATGATGATGCTGACGATGATGAAGCAGGAGAGGAGGAGTAATCGTACTCCTCTTTCCTTTCCTGCTCCTCTGCTGCGCCTCGGGGGAGGAGTGGATTGGACTTGATGAGCACGCTCTCGTCCTCCTCCATGCAGCTCACGTTGATGTTCTCGCTCGCCGCGTCAGAGTCTCCGTGGGGCAATGGGGGGTCAAGTCAGCCAAAGTGAGAGGTAATGGTATGAATTGGCCGAGTGCGGCGACCGTACCTGTGGTCATGCGCTGCAGAAATGTGTAGCACTGTTGTGTGGCTCCGCGTGGTCCCTTTCGGTTGTATTTGATGTTCGGGAATGCCCTGGTGATCGGTTGCTGATCAGTACTTGCTCTGCACCGAACGGGTAGGGTCGAGAGGGGAGGTACCGTTTGACGATCTTGCCGAAGAACGTGTGCGAGATCTTGGGCTCCACGCCCTTGTTCTTGCACACCCGCATGAAGTGGTTGAAGACGTCCCGCTTCGACGTGAAGCCGTTCGTCCCCACCCGGTAGTTGGCCCGCAACCTGTGCATCCGCGGGTGCGCACGCAAAGAGCCCAGACAGAGGCGTGTCAGAGCGGACAACCACTAACCCGGAGTTAACAACCGCCGCCGGACATTTCTCGAGCCGGCCAATCGCGAACACGCAGATAACAACGCCAGGAGCGCGGTTATCCTGATGGGATGGTCGCGCGCACACTCGCACGAACGTGACACAGCAAACACGCACACGCACACGCACGCAGCACTCGCGGAACAGCATGTTCCACACAGAGACCAGCCAAAGCAGACAAGAGGTGGAGAGGCAAGGGTGAGAGGTATACCATTCGATGGCCTCCATGACCATCCGGCGCTTCTGTAGCTCCTGCATGACGTTGACGACGAACTTCTCCTTCTCCTCCTCGGACATGCCGCGATCGGGCTGACTGCCCACGGCCAGGGCCTCCATGCCCAGCACCACCTCGCCGCTCCCCGTGAGCCCGCCCTCGCCCAGTTGGGCGCGGCCCAGTCCCGCCGCCGACGGGTAGGGCAAGGGCGACGAGGCCGCCGACGACGGCGCCGACGAAGGCGTGAATGGCGATGAGGGCTGGGACTGGAACGCCATCGCAGCAGAGAGGCCAGGTGGCGTGGCAGAAGAAGGGGAGGTGGAGGTGGAAGAAGATGCACCCGAAGGTGTTGGGGTCGATGGTTGTGGAAAGTAGTGGTGCTGGCCCGCAACTGTGGGAAAGGAGCCGCTGCCGCTGAGCAGAACGTTGATGTGCTGCTGCTGAGGCTGCTGAGGCTGCGGCACGACCAGGCCAGGTCCAGGTCCTCCAGGGCCACCACCGCCACCGCCACCACCGAGCTGGGGCTGTGGGTGGAGGTGAGGGTCAGGCGGTTGTTCCATCCCAAGCGTTTCGTTTTACGACAGACAATACGCCTCGTCTAAGAGAGAGCCGTGCCGCGGGAGCGCAAGGGGTCACATTAAAGCAACCAAATTACGTGCCACACATTCCACAGCCGTGGCGGGTAATTTGTGGAATGTTTGTTGTTCTCCCCGGATTTATCCTGGCGCGGTGCGCGAGAGGTAATAAAACGCACCAATCGTGACGTTACGACCTCGGATCAAAGAAGTGAGGCAACACGGTCGGTGTCTTGCCGGACGCTTCGCCGACCGCCACGTGCGCAGCCGTCTTCTGGCTGGTGTAGCCCGCAAGGCGCTGGCCTTCGCTGGTCAGGCCTTTCAACACGGGCAGGGTCGACGTTTCTGCGTGCGTGTAGAGCAAGGAAGTGGGCGTTGTTCAGACCACAGAGCTGCCGCAACGGGCCACGACACCCACAAGTTTGCAGTGTAACGAACACACGAGTATGCAGCACCTATCAGTGACGAAGCTGGCACGCTCGCCGCGAGCGGGTGGCCGTTGGCCAGGGGCACGCTCAGATAGTCCACGTCCTCCTGATTGATTACGGGAATCTGCGTGTGATGATGATGCTCTCAAGCGAATCTCAAGTGTGACGTACCTTGATGAGGGTGTTGTGTACGTGGGCGAGCAGGTGACTGAGTAGCGCGGGGCCTTCTGTCCCTTTCACCCATACGCCAAAGACGGTGCGCATGTCGAGGTGGTCCTTCTTCCCGATGTCCGGCAGGGAGGGGATCAGCGAGGGCAGAAACACGGCCAGGCGGTTGATGACCGAGATCCCCGAGCGAATGTACCATGGCGCGCCCTGCGAGCCGAGCGGAGAGAGGTCAATGATTGGTGCTGCGCTCTTGATCGAATGTGAAGCCGGTGTGTCATCGGTTTGTACATACCAGTAGCTTAATGCTATACCCATGACTCCACACACTGCACCCCGCTTCCGACTCGCCATCTGACAGATGATGAGCGCCACACCAACGTTCAGCGGTAGTTGTGTGGTAGTAGTATAGTACCCTAGTTGAGGCGTGTGAGGGGCTTACCTGTGGAGGTGATGACGTACGGACCCGAACTGTGAGGATCGGCGAGCACGCGTCGTAGCGAATCCCTGGGCAAGAGGAAGTCGGCCTGTCCCCAGAACGTGTGTATGCTCTCCACGGCTTCGTCGGCCTTGGCCTGGCGCTCCTCTTCAGTGCGTTCCTCCTCCTCCACGAGAAGCTGGGTCTCTACCCAGTCCGGTACCGGCTTGGGCATGTTCTGCACGAGAATGCCCAGCAGTCGCAAAGAAGGCAACTTGCCGTAGCCGTTCTTCATGAAGAAGCGTTCCGACGCTTCGTTGCCTTCGGCGATGTAGCCGTAGCTGAGTCTGTTGTGGTGGTGGTAGTGACGAGTGATGATCAGATCGTGAGCGTGCGAGCTTCATGGAGGGGGAAAAAGAGGGTAATAGAGAGAATCGGTCTTACCTGCTCGCAAGGTAAAGTAGGTAAGACCAGATACTACTTTACCTTGCGAGCAGAGGGCCTCGAGTTGGTGCAGGGCGGTCCCATCATCCGATTGAAACGGGCGAACCTGCACCACCCGGGTGGCGGTGCTCTCAACCGCCGGTTCCATCTTCGAGCTTCGCCGTCGGGAACGGTGCTTGGCACTTTGTGATTGCCGGGCCCGCAGCAGAAGTCTTCTGGAAGAAAGTTGGCAGAAGAGCAACAGAAGGGAAGGCGAAAAGCAGTTGCTCGCCATAAAGTGCTTTCGGCCGGTCGTTTCCGAACCCACACAGAGCAGACCCACCAGCACCACCCCACACCAATCGAGCAATCCCTTGAAGTACGGCCTTCTCCGCTCCGATCTCACTCATATGTGCCTTTGCCTCTTTTTAATCTTTAGTGTCTTCAAAATGCAGTAAAAGGAATGGTAATAGATGATTTTAAATAGTAATCGTTGGTGGTTGCAACAGGTAATGGAGCAGCAGAACGTGCGTCTCGTGGAGAAGGAGGTGTGGAAGGCACTGGCCGCGCACAGGGAAGAGCAAAAGGCGAAGCAGGTGCACATGCGCGACCTGTTCGCGCAGGACCCCGAGCGTTTCAGGCGCTACTCGTTCGAGTGGAACGACGGCGCCCTGCTGCTCGACTACTCCAAGAACATCATCACCGACGACACGCTCCGCCTCCTCCGCCAGCTCGCCGCCGACTGCGACATCAAGGGCTGGACCGAAAAGATGTTCAACGGCGAGAAGATCAACTTCACCGAGAACAGGTACCACCGCCACCACCCACCCAGCTCTACTGGGTGGCCACTCGTAGGCTTACTTCACCGGTCGCCACCACCGCAACGACAGGCCGGTGCTGCACGTCGCGCTGCGCAATCGCTCCAACCGCGCGATCATGGTCGACGGCGAGGACGTGATGCCCGCCGTGAACAAGGTCCTGCAGCAGATGAAGGAGTTCACCAACTCGATCCGCTCGGGCGAGTGGAAGGGCTGGACCGGCAAGGCCATCACCGACGTGGTCAACATCGGCATCGGTACGCTTCTGCATGTCCCGGCCCGTTGCAACATTGAAGCAATAATTATCAACCGCTCTCCACGCACTCAACGTTGTGTGTTGTGTGTTGTTGTGTTTGGCCACACCTGCAGGTGGTTCGGACTTGGGTCCGCTGATGGTGTGCGAGGCGCTCAAGCCCTACGCGAACGGCAAGCTCAACGTCCACTTTGTGTCCAACGTTGATGGCACGCACATTGCGGAGGCGGTCAAGAGGCTCAATGCTGGTGCGCACTCTTCTCTTCATATGTGCAACGTCTTCATGATCCAGCTCTGTTCGACACATGCCTCGACTGATGGATCATTCACCGCCTTCTCCACATCCGCAGAGACGACGCTCTTCATCGTGGCCTCGAAGACTTTCACCACGCAGGAGACCATCACCAACGCCAACTCGGCGCGGGACTGGCTGCTCAAGTCGCTGAACGCTCCCAAGGACGCGGTGGCCAAGCACTTCGTTGCTCTGTCCACCAACGAAGAGGGGGTGCGCAGCCCCGACTCTCTTCTTCTCAGTCGCACACCAACCCAATACAGCGCTCCAGCCACACAGAGAGCGCTCTCAGTCGCACACCAACCCAATACAGCGCTCCAGCCACACAGAGAGCGCTCTCAGTCGCACACCAACCCAATGCAGCGCTCCAGCCACACAGAGCGCTCGGTGTCACTAAACTTGGCGCTTGTTCTGATTGGTGTACCAGGTCACCAAGTTTGGCATCGACAAGGCCAACATGTTCGCCTTCTGGGATTGGGTTGGCGGGCGCTATTCCCTCTGGTCGGCCATTGGCTTGTCGATCGCCACTTACATCGGTACAGACCCCTTATCAACGCGATCTGGCCGCCGTGGGTCCTCGGGCTCATGCCTAGTTTCCGTGGCCAGGTTTTGAGAACTTTGAGGAGCTGCTCACCGGTGCCCACGAGATGGACGAGCACTTCCGCACCGCGCCCATTGAGCAGAACCTGCCCATCACTCTCGCCGTGCTCGGCGTGTGGTATGGAAGCCTAGCCACTCCACACTCGCATTCCATATGACTTCCTGTCCGACATTCCAACTCATATACCCCGCCGCTGTGTGATGCAGGTACAACAACTTCTTTGGCGCCGAGACGCATGCCATCCTGCCTACGATCAGTACATGCACCGCTTCCCCGCCTACTTCCAGCAGGTACGCCACACTCCACTCCATTCCTCGCTGACCCGCATCCGCTCATCGAGAACACACACACACACACACACACACACACACACACACACACACACACACACACACACACACACCACCCTTGGCGGATCCACAGGGAGACATGGAGAGCAACGGCAAGGGTGTCGACAGGCAGGGCAACAGGATCAACAACTACTCGACTGGTCCCATCATCTGGGGTGAGCCTGGTACGTTGGCGCACAAAAACCCTAATCTTCCTTGAGGGCGGAGAGTCGGCTAACATGTCGGTCCCGACTCCGCGCGTTGTAAGGCACCAACGGCCAGCACGCGTTCTATCAGCTGATCCACCAGGGCACGAAGCTCATCCCGGCCGACTTCCTGGCCCCCATCGAGACCCAGAACAAGGTGGGCAACCACCACATGATCCTGCTCTCGAACTTCTTCGCCCAGACCGAGGCCCTCATGCGCGGCAAGACCGAGCAGGTACATACACACTCATCTTGTGGCCCGCTTCGGCCTATGCCGCATAAGGTGATACCAACTCCGTGTGCACGTGTGATGTACTACAGGAAGCTCGTGCTGAGCTCGAGAAGGCCAAGATGTCCGCCTCGGCGATTGAATCCCTTCTGCCTCACAAGGTTACTCTCCATCACCCACACGACACGACACACACACACCGCGGCAGAGGAGAAGAGACGCAAGACTGATCGAGGGTGTGCACACACTTGGTTTACGCTTGAGCAGGTGTTCCTGGGCAACAGGCCCACCAACTCGATTCTGTTCCCCAAGCTCACGCCCCGCGCCCTCGGCTCGCTGATCGCTCTCTACGAGCACAAGATCTTCACCCAGGGCATCATCTGGAACATCAACTCCTTCGATCAATGGGGCGTGGAGCTGGGCAAGCAGCTGGCGCAGGGCATCCAGAAGGAGCTCGACACCGACGCGGAGGTGGTGTCGCACGACGCCTCCACCAACGGGCTCATCAACTACTACAAGACCTACCACAAGCAGCACGGCGCCAAGCTCTGAGCTTAGCGCACGGTCGAGTGCTGTTGTTTAGGTGAACCGGCCAATGAAGAAATGTTGCAGATTGTCTTTTCATGGAAATGTTGGATTTCAAGCAATACGCATTTGTTTTTTCTCTAACGCAAATAGAACTTTCCAATCGAGCTAGCAAGATGAAGGTAGGTCTGGCGCCAAATACTTCTGCACTCACCCTGTTCTCGGGGCTGGGCCGTACCTACCAGGCATCGACGGTGCTTCCCTTCTACTCGCACACGCGCCGCGATGACGTGGAGAAGACCGTCGACGACTCCCTGGGCATTGACCGGCGGTGCTTTTCCAATCTCTTCCCCTGTCCCATCGCCCTCCCCGCTCGCCTCAAGGAGGTCAACGGTACCACCGACTCTCCTCTTGTTTTCCTTTTCACCTCACCTATCGAATTTGCATTTATTCCATTATGATTGCTCTACGCAACGGGCGACAACGTTGCAGGTGTGAAGCTGGTGCTGCACGACTGCCTGCTCGACAAGGCGCTGGCCTCCACCGAGAACTTGTTCCAGGCCGCCAAGTGCTCTCTCGAGGCTGACGCCAGGTTCTACTTCGAACTCAACGGTGGCGACGCCGCGCGCTACGGCCAAGGCCGCATGTACCTCACCACCAAGCAAAAGGTTCTGAGAACATCCCCCCCCCAATCGTCTGCCTCGCGAGGCTCTTTTTGACGAACTGTGGTCCCTCTTGTGTGCCACGTGTGTGATTACGATCAACAGCAACGGCTGGTAGAGCTGGGCGTGGACGAGGCCGAGATCAAGCAGTCGGGCAAGGACAAGTTCAAGCGCACGCACACAGGCTTTTGTCCCAAGCGAGACGACTGGGATGAGGTCAAGCCGCTCGTCATGCTCGTCGCCCTGCGCATCAAGTTCAAGGTATGTGGCTCGTCTACTCACCATCGTCATCAAGGCGCCGCACTCCCCAGCTCTGCGGCTGCTTACGTTGCGCCACAACAGGAGATGCAGCCGTTCAGGGAGTACATGGACAACCTGATCAAGTCGGGGCAGGACGTCTTCTTCGTGGAGCACACGAGAAATGACAGGTGCGCGCCTGTACTCGATCTCCTGCTGACGTCATGCTACCGACAGCGCTCATGGGGTTCCCCCCTGACTGACTGGCGATGCACGTTGTGTGCAGGCAATGGGGCGACGGAAGCGACGGAAGCGGCAAAAACATGCTGGGCAAGCTCATCACGCAGGTCTTCCTCGAGCTGCGCGAGGGCAGGGAGTTTGACCTCGACCTCGACTACCTCAACCGACCCAACTCCGAATTTGTGGATTACAACTAGTGGTCGTTGCTGCTGCTGCTGCTTGGATCCAAGGCTGTTTCATTACCATCGTCTTCGTCTTCATCATCTTTCTCGCCAGTGGGCTCAGATGTAGAGGACCTCGACAATGTAGGTGTCGCCGGTCTTGGCGTGCTTACTGTTGATGGTCGACGCAGACTGGCTCTTGAGCACCTGGGCCCAGCGCTGCAGGGTCCTCCGATAGTCGCCCAGGTAGGCCTCGAAGCGGCCCAGCTCCTGGGCGATGCGCACCTGCTCCTTGGTGATGACGCCCACGCGCTGGATGATCGGGTGGCTGTCGTCCAGCAGCACCAGCTCCGAGAAGCGGCTGTCCAACAGCAAGCCCAGCCACTCAATCACCTGGCGAAGCCACCGCAAACGTGTTCATGTAAGCCAAATTGTGTTCTGGTCGTGTGTGTGTGGTGTGTGTGTGTGGTCGTGTGTGGTCGTGTGTGGTCCTGTGTTGGCGTACCACTGGGAGGGGCGGGACGGCCCAGTTAGCGACAACGTTCGTTTGCTTCTTCCACACCGCAGAATCGTGGGCGCAGTGCGCCTCGAGCCACTCAGTCAAGTAGTTGAGGAGATACTGCAGCAGCGGGGGCGAACGCACAACACACGCGAGTCGTAAGTCCAGAACGAACGAACGAAACAATCACGCGCGGCTCCTTGTGGTGGTTTGGGGGGGGGGCGAGCTCTGTACCGTGATCTGTTCCAGGGGGAATGACTTCATGTACTGCAGCAGGAACGCAAAGTTTTCCCTCCTCGCCACCAGCACGTTTCTGCGCAGCCGGACGAGATGGTCAGCGCCACGAAGAGAAGAAGAAGAAGAGCAGGTGCGCGGAGGACGTACAGGAACCGCTTGCTCATGACGTCGACGGCCTCCTGTTCGGTGATCGTCGGCGGCGAGACCTCAGGAGTCTCCGACTTCTTCTGCCTGGCCAGCTCGTTCATGAGGTACTGGGCCAGCGGCTGGTTGTTGGCGCGCGGTCGCGTAAAGTAGTCGAGGAGCGAGACCACGGCTCCCGTCGGCAGATCGCTCGACGTACGAATCAACGTGCGCAGCGTACCCTGTGTTGAGAGTGGCGCGGCGCACCGGCGTCAGCCGTGCGTGGCGGGTGCGCAGAAAAAGTGAGAGCAGGCGGGCAGGTGGTGGTCGCCGTACGAATTGGTTGTTGGCCAGGAGGGAGGGGATCAGGTCGGGGAGTTCGTGCGTGGAGAGCTGGCCCAGCTTGAGCAGGTGCTCCAGCTCGGCCCACATACCTACGATGTTGCAGCATTGATTGGTGTTAGCCGAGTGCATGTGCGTGTGCGGTAGTGCTTGTGCGTGTGCGGTGGTGCGTGTGCGTGTGTGCCGCACCCAAGCGAAGGCACTTCTCCCCGACCTGGCTGACGAAGCGGTGCGACAGCAGCTTGTAACGCTTCGGCATTCGCTTCTTCTTCTTCTGCTGCTTCGTGTCCGACTCCTCCTCCTCCTCCACCTCCACCCCCGCCTTCCCCTTCCGCTGGCGGCGGGACGGCTGCGGGAATCGCACGGCGGGCAGCTCCTCGAGGAACTTGCGGAAGATGACCGAGCCGTCCTTCTTGTTGGTCGCGGCGAGCAGCGCGGCGATGGCCTCCCGCTCGCGCTCGTTCTCGTCAATGAAGCTGTCCCACGTGCCGTCGTCGAGGAAGACCTCGCGCGTCTGCTCGATCTTCTTCTCCTCGATCTCCTCGCTCTCGCGATCGACGTCGAGCGCCTCCTTAATCTCAAAGATCAGGTCCTCCTGCTTGCCCGCACTCGCGGCCGCCTCGTCGGTCGGCTTGGCGCTCTTGGCGCCGGAAACGGGCTGCTGCGCGTTGGCGCTCACCTGCGACGTGACGACGTCCAGCAGAATGGGCGACGAGAACGAAGGCAGTGCGTCTGTGTGTGTGTGTGTGTGAACGAGCCAGCATTTCTGGAATTGTTCATGCACAGCGCATTGCGTACCCTCTTCGGCAAAGGAGAGCGTGGACTTCATCTTGTTGAGCAGCATGCCGAGCGCCGGCTGCGGGCAGTAGAGCGGGCAGATCGCGACGTGATTCTCGAGCGCCACGACCACGTACGACGCGTCGGTCGAGACCGCGAGCTGGTGGTTGGTGGTGGCGGTGAGTAGGGCGGTGAGTTTGTGTTGTTGAAAACAAAAAACTGCGGAGTGAGCCGGCAATGTTGGGACCGTACCTGCACCACGCGCTCGTCGGGGGCGACCGGGTTGATGATGATGTCCTCCGACTGCTCGAAGTTGACCTCGCGAGCTCCGTGGAGGTTGCCGTGGATGGGGTCCCACAGAGTGAGCCACGCTGTCACCAGAGAAATTCGTGAGTGTCCATCGCGCGTACGTTCGGGAATGAATGCTGCAGCCGCCTGGCCGTCTAGCAACGTACGTTGGCCGGTGTCCTTGCGCTTGCCGGAGAGGGCGACGAAGGACTGGAACGGGGCCGAGGCGACGCCGGTGATCTCCCGATCGAGCCGCCCGGCGACCTGCTTGGTCTTGTTTTGCTGGCCCTGCACGAGGTGCACGAAAAAAACATCGGACTTAGCACTCGCTGCTGCAATTCTTTGCATTCTCTCCGGTAGCAGGCTTCGTAGGTACCAGCTGGGTGATCTGGAAGGCGTTGAGCTTGGTCGACGACTGCAGGAACGGCGGCTGGTCGTACTCCTGCTTGCCCAGCAGGTGGTGCAGGTTGGAGAAACGGAACACCTCGGCGTTGCCGTCCGACCCTAAGAACGTACGGCGCATGGGGTCAGCCGCAGCCGCGAGAACCAAATAAACCCAGGCGACTCGTTGTGTGTGTGTGTGTGTGTTGCACGTACAGAGGATGTAGTTGGTGAGGTTGGCGAAATCGAACGAACACGTCGCGACGCCGGGCTTCGCGTTGGTGGCGAACCGCTTGATCTCGTGCGAGACGTTCCAGGTGATCTCCTGCTCGATAGCCGACACTCCCTTCTGGTCCTCAGCCATCTTCCTGTTATGGCAGGAGAAGAGAGAGAGAGAGAGAGAGAGAAGTCGAATGGTGATGAGCACACAATTGCCGGTGGGCAACCAAACAAGTGAGGTTGGAGGCTGCGGCTGTACCTCTTCTTTTGCGAGGGATGCGTGGGCGGCGGGTTGAGCGTGTAGACGTGAAGCACGTAGGTCAGCTCGGCGGCCTGGGCGGGCGCTGCGACGAGAACGAGGACGAAGGTGACGCCGCTCTGCTGCAGGCCGAAGGCGCGGGTCCACACCACCTTGGCGCTGGGCGCCTTGGCCCCGGGGGGAAGCAGCGTGGGTGAGATCTTCTCGAGATCGTGGCTGCAGAGGCGCAGGGCACCGTCCTCGTGGACCAAGATGACGGCCTCGTGGATCATCTTATCGGTCAATACGGCGACCACCTTGCTCTTGAACTATGACCAAGAGGAAAGAGTAGAGAAAGAGGTGAATCACCGCTACTAAGATGCATCTTCAAGAAGGGCTCGAGCCAAAAAAAAAAACGTACGCCTTTCTTGTGGGTATCGATGGAGGGATCGCGCTGCGTCCAGGTGCAGACGAAGTTGTGGTCCATGACCCCCATGTAGCGCGGCTCGGGGGCTTTGGTGGCCTGATGAATCTCCATCGCCGGCAAAGTCCATCGGCTGCCGGTCTTCTGGGGCCAGCTGTAAATCACCTTTTGATCGAAGGCCTGCGCATCAACACAAAGGGTTAGCGCACCAAAATTGGGGAAAATTGATTCCATCCTAGATTAAATTACGAACCTCATGCAGCTGCACCCCGGAGTTCTGAATGGTGACGAGGATCTGTGAGGCATTGATGACCGAGGGAGACACGCCCACCACGGGGTGATTCGGGTTCGTCTGAAGCAAGAACAAGCTCGAACCCTCCATCGTTCTCTTGCAGCCTCCGGCAAACAAATCGCTAGCGATCTTGCAATCCCGTTTGGCCCGTTATTTCTTTTCAGTTTCTCGCTTTTTCGGTTGGCGAAAATTCGCGGCAAATTGGGGCTGTCGACAATTCAAATTGGCGGGAAAGCGGAACGCAACGCGGCAAAGAGAAAGCTGACGGGTACTCATCTTGGTGTAGTTCGCGCAACGCCAGAAGAGAGCGGCAGCAATAGTACGAGACCACCATGACCGAATCGATCGGTGAAAACCATTTGCTGCGGGCGCTGTCGCGACTTTCCATCTTGGAGGAGGAAATCGAGGACTCCTTGCCCGCACGTAAGCGGGAGCTGAAGCGGCTGAAGAGACGTGCATCAAGGCGCCGATCTTCCTGTAACAACAGCCTAATCGTCGGCAGCTCCCTCGAGGTCTCTTTGGATGAGCCACGGACCCGCACGAGGTATGCCATCCACTTTTTTCCACTAGCTTGGGCGCTGCTGAGGTGCCATCTTGATTACGTGCAGTGCTGGCAAATCCCTGAGCCCAATTAAAGATGGATCAATTATGTCCAGCGCTGGCGAAGAGGACAGCGATGCAAGCGTCATACTGGAGCATTCATTCGAGGAGGGGCTGGAGGAAGCAGACGATCCGTACGAAGAAGAGGCCGAGGACGAGGAAACGCGCAGGCTAGCCGAAGAGATTCGCATGCTGGAAGAGGAGACCGCCCGTCTGGCTTTGGAAGCCGTTGATGAGGATGAGTACGACGAAGACGGAGCGACGGAGGAAGAGGAGGAACCGCAGGTTAATGACGAAGGCGACGTCGCGTACGACAGCGAAGAGGAGGATGCCGAAACGGAACTGTCGAACGTCCAAGGGGAGACCGAGGAGCAGAGCCGACGCGCCGAGGACGGTGAGGAAATAACAGACGACGAGACAGAGGAGGAGGAGGAGGAGGAACAGAAAGAAGATGACGATCCGACCATCCGTGGCATACTCGCCGCCGTCGCACAACTTCAACTCACCGATGGAGGGGACGAACCGGAAGAAGACGAAACTGTCGATGAGCAAGTGACGGAGGCTACGTCAGTTGTCGAGGCGGAAGACGGCGCTGATGCAGGAGACGAAGAGGAACTGACCGGTCCCGCGGAGATCGAGCAGGCGGACGAGGACGTCGAGCAAGTGGAGAAAGCCGCCGAAGAGAACGAAGAGTCAAGCGAACAGGAAAGTGAGGAGGAGCGAAACCATCAGGACGTGAGGGAGAGCGAAGAATCGTCGAAGGGGGAACGAGGAGAAGCCTTCGCGTCGCCGAGCTCATGAGGAGGTGCGAGAGGAAGAGGAAGAGGAAGAAGAGAAGCCGGTGGTGCGTAGGAGGTTGAGGAAGCTGGCGGAGGTGAAAGCCGAGCGAGAGTCCAAGAAGAAGGGCCACGTACCAATGTTCTCGGACGAGAGCGAAGAAGAGGAAGAGGAGGCTCCAAGCGACAAGAAGCAAAGGGGCAAAGAAGCGCGCCCAGCCGCAAAAGGTGGCATGATGGACAAGCTGCGAATGCTGGCGAGGCAGACTGGAAGCGAAGCGATCGAGGACGCAGCGCAGTCGGACGGCAGCGAGAGCGAAGCTAAGGAAGAAAGGGATAGCGAAGACGAGCACGACAGCGAATGTCCGACTGACGAGCAGATGGAAGGCGACGACTACGAGGCGGAATGCATCGCTGAGGATGACGATGAGAAGAGACCTCCGACACCGACAAACAAGGCGAAGACACTCCAGAAGGTCAAGACCGAGCGCGAGGTCGAACGCGAGGAGAAAAAGGCGCACAAGTCTGAAGCAATCGAACAAGAGGAAGCGGAGGAAGAAGGCGAAGAAGAGGAAGAGTCCGAAGAGGAGGAAGAAGAAACACCTTCGTGGAAGAGGCTGCGTAAGTTTGTGGAGGTCAAGGACGAGCCACGCACCTCTGAGAAGAAGTCTGACTCCTCCGGCAAGAAGAAGGCGGCTACGGCTGCTGAGCTCAAGGGTAAGACCAAGGACGCGGTCAAGACCGAGGCGAAGAAGGGCAAGAACGCCGACGAGGACTTCGTCGAGGAAGAGGTCGAGCGGGTGCAGCTGTGGAAGGGCCTCTCGATTCCTGCCAAGATGTGGGACGGCCTGTACCCGTACCAAAAGGTGTGTCACACCCACTGTGTTTCTCTCAATTCATCGTCGAGTCTCGTTGCTCACTCTCTTCGGTCTCTTCAGCGCGGCGTTGAGTTCATGTGGTCGCTCTATACCAAGAAGACCGGCGGTATCCTTGGCGTACGTGTTTCATTCTCCTGGCTTACGCTTCCTCGCGACTCTAACGGAATCGTTGCGCAGGATGAAATGGGTCTGGGCAAGACCATTCAAGCGCTCGTGCTCGTCCTGGGCGCGCTCACCTCGGGCCGAGCCAAGCGGGTCCTCATCGTGATGCCCCTCTCGGTCATGAAGAACTGGGAGAACGAGCTGATGAAGTGGAGTGACAATGGCGCCATGCTTGAGAGCCGAGGTATGGGCATCTGCATCATGCACGGTGCGATGAACAAAAAGAAGAACGAGATCAAGGACAAGGTATGCGTCTAGCTCCTCTCTCTCTCTCTCTCTCTCTCTCGACTCGCAAGGCGACCAACACGTATCTCACTGACTCCCGCTCTGCTCAAGGTGTTCCATCACGAGGGTGGGTTGTGCTTCACCACGTACGGCAACATTCCCACTAAGCTGGCCTCATTCGTCTCCATCAATTGGGACATCGTGCTTCTGGACGAAGGCCACAAGATCAAGAACCACCGGTAAGCTGCGCCCCTTTTCTCTTCTACAGGTTTTATTCCCGAGGTCGTAGTGGAGCCTAACACACCCCTTCTTGTACCCGCGCAGCATCGGTTTGTCTCAGTCGATGCGGAGGATCCCCTCGACCACGCGCATTCTTCTCACTGGAACGCCCATCCAAAACAACTTGATGGTACGTACACTCGTCGCTGTTGCAACAGGCGCAGGCTCGTTCTTCCTTCTCACGTCCGGGGTTTGTGTGGTTACGTAACGGGAATACAGGAACTGTGGTCCCTCTTCGATTACACGTGCAAGGGTCAGCTGTTGGGCACCATCCACCAGTTTGGTCGCCAGTTCGAACAGCCCATCAAATATGCCACCTACAAGTGCGCCTCGGCCGAGGAGAAGCAGCTCGTACGTCTTCCCATGCCCTTTCACCTACACGCTGCGGGAGATGTGGTGTCACGCCGGCTCACCTCTCTTGCGTGCATATTGGCGACCAGTCACACGAGCTGTCGAAGCAGCTGCGTCATATTCTGGCGCCCCATTTCCTGCGCCGCGAGAAGAAGGACGTGTTCAACACCAACGGCAGCGCTTCCAAGGCCGACGCGGGTGACCAGTCGTCGCCTTCTCCATCTTCCTCGGAGGAAAGGCAGCAGCAAGCACTTACCACTCGGATGAACGACTTCATCGTGTGGCTCAGTCTCAGCCCGGTCCGTCGGCACTTCCCTTACAAGCCCTATATTGCCTAGTCGCTCATCCGTAGTTCAATGTGCGCGTGCGTGCGCAACTACAGGTTCAGGAGAAGCTCTATCGCAGCTTCCTCGCATCGGACCAGGTCAAAAACGTGCTGGCCACGACCAAGAACGTGCTCGAGGGTTTGGTCCTGCTGAAGAAGCTCTGCGACCACCCTCGTCTTCTCACCGCCAAGAACGCGGAAGCCGTGGATGCCGAGCTGCTGGCCACATGGTGCGTATCCTCTCTCGCTCCCGTATACATGCCCGCACGCACGCAATGCAAGCGCTAAGTTTCCTCTCTTGCGCAGCGGCTTTAAGGATTGGCTCCGCGACAAGCAAGAGGATGACGAAGATAGCGAGAAACCTAAGAGAGCGGCCAAGCGTAACACTCGCGCAACAAGCGATGACGAAGACGAAGACGACGCAGCGGAGGAGAGCGAAAGCGAAGATGAGGATGAAGAGGTCGACCATCTTCCCGTGACGCGTCAGGCGGCCAAGCGGAAGCCGCTCATCAAGGCCAAGGTCAAGACTGAAATCTCAGGTGGCCGGCGTCTCGCGGTCGACGAATTCAACACTCGGCTGCCGCACGAGGTCAAGCTGCGAATCTTCGGGTTCGCGTGCGGCCTCAACGACGTGGTGGAGGTGTCCAGGCTGATGCTGGTCTGCAGCCACTGGAGGCAGGTGGCCAGCGACGACGCTCTGTGGTTCCCCCTGTGCCGGCACCAGTCCTTCGTCGATGCTCGAGGTCGCGACCTCCAGGCCATGGCGCTGGCCAACGCCGCGAGGCGGGAGGCCCAACGGGCCAAGGAAGAGGCTCGCGAGGCCCGCCGTATGGCCTACAACATCCACCCTACGCCCGACAACGCTGAAGCCGACGAGTCCGAGAGCGACGCTGACGACGGCGCAACCGACGAGGGCGCAGACACGGAGGACGTGGGGAAGGAGATACCGATTCCGCCCAAGGAGGCCAGCTGGCGCGAGTGCTTCCTGCGCAAGCGACGGGAGTGCGTGCACCAGATCTCGGCCAAGCTGGTCTTCCTCATGCGACTCCTGCCCAAGCTGCGCGAGGAGGGCAGCCGCGTGCTGGTCTTCTCGCAGTCGCGCAAGATGCTCAACATCATCGAACTGCTGCTCCGCGAGGGTGACTACTCGTTCCTGCGCATCGACGGCTCCATCTCCAAGTCCGACGAGCGCCAGCGTAGGGTGGAGCTCTTCAACTCCGACCCGAGCTATTTCTGCTTCCTCCTCACCACGGTGGTGGGCGGAATCGGACTCAATCTCACCGGCGCCGACCGTGTAGTGATTGTCGATCCCTCTTGGAATCCGACGCACGACAACCAGGTACGAATGACACCACGCACGCTTGCGACACGCAACCTACGTTTTTTCATGGACCGTGGCAACTCTATATATCAGGCGGTCTGCAGGGCATTCCGCTTGGGTCAGAAGAAGAACGTGATCGTGTACCGTCTCATCACTTGCGGCACCATCGAAGAGAAGATCTACCGACGCCAAGTGTGCGTGCCCTAATTCCTCTAGAGGCGGTCTTTAAGTGCACACCTATGTGTGCATGTGGCTCACTCGTGCCTTGGCCGTGTACAGGTTCAAGGGAGCGATCGTCCAGAGCACAATGACGCAGAAGTCGTCGCTGCGGTACTTCTCGCGGGAGGAGCTGACCGACCTTTTCCACCTGGGCGATCCCCGCGTGGCCCAGACCCAGAAGGACCTCCACGCCCTCCACGCCCACGAGCGGGTCACCGACGAGTACACCGACCGGCACATCCAGTACCTGCACGAGATCGGCGGCGTGCACGGCATCAGCGACCACGACCTCCTCTTCAGCAAGACCCAGGCCGTCGAGTCCTCGGCCGTCGCCAAGCAGCAGGCCAAGGAGTACGCCCTCCCGCACCTCTGCCTGCACTGGTTAAAAGCTTTTAACACGAAACAAATGTGACGCTCGTCATTCCACAGGGCTGCGCGACATCTCAAGAATCAAAACTCTGACGACGAGGGCGACGATGAAGGCGCTCGCGACCTCGTGAAGGGCGGCGCTGACGGTGGCGCGGGTGAGGCCGCATACACCCCGGCAAGCCAACCGCGAACGAGAGGAGGAGCGGAAGAAGAAGCGAAGACGAAGCGGGAGGTGGTGACGGGGAGCGCGCCGCCCGCGAGGCGCAGAAGGCCGCGCGAATCGATCGTCGACACGGCGCTCAACGCCTTCACGCCGCCGGTGACCGTCTACTCGCGGGTGATTGAGAAGACCCGCATGCGCAGGCTGGCAGCCTCGCCCGCGTCGTCTTCGGCACTCATCGCGGCCACGCCCCAGCGCAAGACCACCACCACCTCTTCTTCCAGCAGGCCTCTCCCCTCACCCGCGGCGGTCTCGTCTTCTTCGCTGCGAGCCTCCGCCACACGGAAGCACGCCCCCACTAGCGCCAGCAAGAAGGCCACCACCAGCACCACGAGGGAGGACAAGGAGAACAACAAGCCTCGGGCCAACGCCAAGCGACTTGACTTTGATGATTGAGTAGTGGGGAGTGAAGGAAGGAACGAAAGAAACAAGATTGAGAGAAAGGGTTGTCCACTACAGCAAGCAAAAGGTCAAGCAGGCCTATGAAAACTACATCAAGGAGTACTGGTCTACCAGAGAACTACCAGGCCTGGCCTTTCTCCGATTGTGAGGGTCGTCCCTGTGGCAAACGTGGCCTTTTGAGTTTAGTTTGACACCATGGATCAAGGAACAAGCAAAATGGTTGGTTCCTTCATGCAAGCAGACAAGCCCAAAAAACTCAAAACCGCAGGGCTCACAGAGGCGCCAATCAAACTCTCTACCACACAAACCTCTGGACATGGAAAGGGAAGCACTCCTTCATGCGCACGCAAGCAGCTCGCTGCGTGTAAATAATTATTAATGTTTTAAATCCTGTCGACTGGAAATGCTTCACAGAAATTTCACGGCCCAACAAAGTCCGCTGAGCCAAAAAGATTTTTTTCGTGGCGGCAACCAGCATTTGCACGAAAAGATGGAGAGAAGAATGAATGGGTAGGATAGCCGAATACTGTGTGCTCAAATAGCCAAGGGCAGGCGAGGCTCAACATTCAAACCAATGAGTGGCCTTGAGACAAGATAAGCAGCAACCAAACCACAGCAAACCAAATGGCTGAGTATCAGGTGATCAAGTGTGTGGTGGTGGGCAACAGTGCAGTGGGCAAGACATGCCTGCTCATCTCCTACACAACCAACACCTTCCCAGGTGAGTACATGCCCACAATCTTCAACAATTACTCAGCCAACATGTTCTACAACAATCACAAGGTCATCAATCTCAGCCTATGGGACACAGCCAGCCAGGAGGAGTACAACCACCTGCACCCACTGTCCTACCCACACACCAACATCTTCATGCTCTGCTACTCAGCCATCAATCCTGTGTCACTGGCCAACATCAAGCAAAAGTGGCTGCCCAAGGTGCACCACCACTGCCCCAAGGCACCCATCCTACTTGTCACCACCAAGAGCAACCTGCACAACAACCACCACATGGTGGCCAAGCTGCAGGCCAAGCTGCTGCTGGGTGTCAAGCCATGCATGGCCACCAAGCAGGGCCACAAGCTGGCCAATGAGATCAGGGCCACCACATTCATCAAGTGCTTGGCCTGGATGCAGGACAACCTCACCCTCATCTTCAATGAGGCCATCTGTGTTGCCCTCAAGCTGCCACCTGCCAAGAAGAAGAAGAGTGGCAAGCATGAGAAGAAGTGCTCCCTCTTCTAGAAAAGTGGACCCACCACTACCTGCCTGTACATATGAAGAAGAGGAAGAGGAGAGAGACAGCTGCAGCAAGCACACATGAGGAGATGATAAACTCCAATTTTGTAACATGGTCTGCTCAGTACCCTCCAATACAATCAAATGAAAGACCCCAGTAGTACCTACCATCAACTGATCACTCCCCCTGTTTTCCTCCATAGGCCCAGGAGTCAAAGACACATCCACCAAGTATTCACACTGCCTGTTCCTGCTCACCATCCTGATCACTCTTGCTGTTGTCAGATCTGTGATCAGTCTAGAGTAGGACAAGCCAGGCCACACTGGAGCTACTGAGCAGGCGAACACCGGAGCTCATGGGCAGGGGTGAGACCAGGTGATTACTTAGAATTAAGCCAAACTTTTCCAGGAAAAAAATAGCAATACCAGGAAACCCACCACTTTAATATAAAGGAGCGATTCGCAAAGCACTTTCATATTGCCGAAAAAGAAGAAGAAGAGGATGGAGGACCCTGCCAACACCACAACAAAGCGCAAAAGGGACGAAGCAGAGAAGGAAAAGGAAGAGGAGCAGCAGGGGGGCGGTGGCAGCACTCAATGTGACGTCGACGACGACAAGAAGAGGAGGAGGCGCGTAGTGTACTCGCAAACCTTCACGATCACATTTGGAGACCAGGCCGAGAACCACGCCGGCATGCAGATCCTTGGCCAAAAGGCCAGCGAAGGCTTCACGCTGGAGGACCTCCAGACGGCCAAGGCTTGGTTCGAAGCGCAGGGCGTCACCGTCGAGCTGCACCACCTCAACGAGGCCCTTCCTTCAAGTGTTGAAGCCGAAACAACAACAACAACAACCAAAAAGAAGAAGCAACAGCAGCAACAAGAAGCAGAAGACGCCTACGTGCTGGTGGCCCGGAACGGGCTCAAGGCCCTCATGGGCGACGCCGACGCCTTCCACGAGGAGCAGGCCGGGCTCCAGAAGGACTCCAAGGCCAAGATGTACGGCCGCGTCGTCGAGAAGCGCGCGCGCCACAACCTGTGCTTCGCCGCGTCAGCTCAGACGCCGGACTACGACAGCGGCAAGGGCACCGTCGTGGCCTTTGACCAAGTGCCTCTCCTCAAGAAGACGCGCGATGCGCTTGTCGACCTGCTGGGCGACAAGGCCAGCGGGCTCGTGGCCGAGGGCAACTACTACTTTGACCCCAGCAAGTGCGGGATCGGCTTCCACGGTGACGCCGAGCGCTGCAAGGTCGTGGCGGTGCGCACAGGCGTCGCTCTGCCGCTGCACTACCAGTGGTTCCTCGAGTCCAAGCCCGTCGGGCAGCGCGTGAAGCTCCTTCTCGAGCACGGCGACGTCTACGTCATGTCCGAGAAGGCGGTCGGGACGGACTGGAAGAGGCGGCAGGTCTACACCCTCCGCCACGCCGCCGGAGCCAAGAAGTTCCTCACGATCAAATGAATTATATAAACACTAACGACCTATTCTATTTTCTTATTGCACTTCCCTTGTTCACGCCTGATCATCAATACATCTCTAATGTTGCGGAGGCATTCACGAGGCATGTTGGCCATCAAGAGAGGAGTGTCTGCTATGCATAGAAATCAGCGTGGAAGGTGCTATTTGTGTTTTTTTTGGGTTTCGAAAAGAGCACCCACGACCACTATGGCCGCCCTGAGTCTCGTCCCTCCGATTGACATGGGTTTGCAGGTCGTGTGGGGCACCAAGACCGTTCCTTTGATCGATCTGATCTGGCCCCCGACCTGCATGAAGAAAAGATGGTCAGCCACCGAGGTGGGTGAGTGTGGCAGGAAATCTTAAGATTTGGGGGCCTCAGCCAAAGTTGCATTCGTTAATCACGTAGGATAGTCAGACGATGTCGGCACTTACTTTCGTCACGGACCCATAGATGAGATGGAGATGAGGTTCGTTTGCGCACCTTCGATCGATCGATCGGGCAGGAGAAGGTGGCCGCATTGCCTCCGAAGATGTCCATGGTAGGAGGTGTGGGAAACCGGGAGATGAGTTCAAGCTTGAGTGTCCGCATGTGTTGATGTGCGGCTGGAGAAGGACAGATTTCTTCCTTTTGTTGTGTAACCGCCAAACATTAAAGCGAAGCGCTCCACCAATCCAAAATTTTGCGATCCACCCTAGTGGTTCCTGTGAAATGACCAAGAAACAGGGTGGGTTAGGAAAGAACATAGAACAGCATTCACGAAACGACAGAGCGCGACTGGGAGAATGTACAAACAACATGGGCTCCCGTTCACGGCCTTTGACTGCCTCCAGCTCATGCAATTTGAGCCCGACCAGCACAGTGCTGGTTTGTGACAAATTGCGGCTTCCAAAAAACTGCATCTACGGAATTCCGCGCCTGCATCATTGCCATTTCAGTACGCTATAGTACTTGATCTCAACTGCCTCTTGTTGGCAATCTTTATTGAAGCTTGTTCTCACCACCAACAGAGAAGTTGAAGGACTACTCTGCCACACGTGACTGGCGAGGAGAGCACCGGATGAAGGAAGAGTTGGCACAAGGACGAGGTCAAAGTGATTTGCTCAAATGCCCAGGGTACGCACTCGACAACATGCGCGTGCGCGTGCGCTTGTCCACAGTTTCGCATCTGCACATACGACCGGTACAGCCCACACCACCGTCGCCCCAATCGCCTCTCACTGGCGTGAGTGAACAGTGTTACTTACACGACCTAAAAACGTAAGAGTTCTTTTAATTCTTTACACCGACGCGCCACTTGACGTCGCTGACGTTGGACCCAAGACCCTCGCCCTGTGTGGCTGGCCTCCTCGGCTCGTCCTCCTTACCTTCTCCCGGATCGCCTGTGGTCGCCATGGCGTCTGGGGCCGCAGGCGGTGGCGCCGTGGCGCCGTGGGCGGCTGCAGGCTTGGGCGCATCGCCATGGCTGCTGCCGTTTGCAGCCGCAGCCAACGAGCTGTCGCTGGTGTATGTAGAAGCGGAGGAGGGGACCGTTGACCGTTGGGCGACGTAGGCAGCCGCGGCGGTGACGCTTTTGCCGCCGTTGGCCTTGGTCTTCTTGTTAGTCCGGTGGTCGGTCCTGTGCTCTGGTGGGGCGGTGGCCCGCGGGTGGAGCTGGCTCTCGGCCGCCGCGTCTCCAGCAGCGCTCGAGGCCGTCGCGGCGGTGGTGGTGACGATCCGCTTGCTCTTGGGCTTCTTGGCGCTGCGTTCGCTGATGAGCTTCATCTTGGCCAGCCCGCGGCCCCTTAGCTTGCTCGTCATCGCGTCGCCGATGCTGGTCGTCGTCTTGCTGTTGTTGCTCGCGGCCGTCGGCGTAATGTTGAGCATGGCCTGGTACTCGTGCAGCTGGGCCTGCAGCTGGGCGATCTGGCGGTCCTTCTCGGCCACCAGGTTGAGCACGTGCTGGTCCAGGTTGCTGGCGTCCGAGTCGCGCAGCCCCTCCTGCGCCCACTGCAGGAAGTAGCCCTCCCAGAACTGCATCCTCCTCAGGCTGCCAATAGGTCAGCGCGTGTGTCGTGTGCGTGTGCGTGTTGTGTGCGGTGGAGCGTGTGCGTGTGCGTGTGTGTCGTGTGCGGTGGTGCGTGTGCCGTTGAGTGGTGTGGGCACATACCTGCAGTTGGGGATGATGACGCGGTTGACGGGCTTGTAGAACGGGTTGACGATCCGCAGGTTGTCTTTCTCCGCGAGGAGGTACGTCCACAGCGACTCCTGTTCTCACATGAAAACGATCGTGTGAGCCAATCATCCACCCGTGTGTGTGTGTGTGTATGTGCGCGCGCGGGGGGGAAGAAGCACGTACGGTCGATTGGCTGAGCTTCTCCTGGATGCGCTCCTTCTCGGTGTTGTACAGAAATGTCCCAAATCGGCACGAGTGGGAGTGGTGCAGAAGCTCCAGCAGGAACCTGGTGTTGCGTGTGCGATTGCGCGTGCGTGTGCGGTGGTGAGCACATTCACATTTCTGAATCCGGGGAGAAAGCGCGCGTGTGGGAGGGCTCTTCACCGTTCGTTGTATTCGAAGGCGAGCGGGGATTGGCGGAGCATCTGCCAAACGCACTCCACCCACTGCATAAAGATCGGCGCTCGCTGCCCATCTGCACTCACACGACCGAACAATTAATTAACAAATTAATAAACTACAACAAATTATAAATAAGAATGATGATAAAAAATATAATAAATATATTCCATATTCATTGGGGGCGCACCGGCGTAGAAGTAGCCGTCGTGTCCGCTGCGGAGGGCGAACTGGTGGCCGAAGGAGAGCCAGTCCTTTTCGATCAGCACGATGAAGCCCTCGATGGTGCGGTAGTAGGGATCGAGCATGATCTGGGCGAGGGCGACGATCTGCGACGTTCGGTCCCACCCGTCGCTACAATGCACCACCACCGGTTCGCCTGCAGATTTACATGCGTGTGTACGGTGTGTGCGGTGTGTGCGGTGTGCAGTGGTGAGATTATTATTCAATCGGGGACGGGGACGGAGTGCCGGCATGGTCCGTACCGTGCAAATGGACGAACTTGGCGACGTCGGCGCTCGAAGATGAGATGAGGGAGATGTGCGAGAGCCACTGCGAGGCGTCGAGGGCGTTGAGCCACTTGCTGTCGTCGTTCATCGGATTGACGAACTGATGACACATATCTCGGACCTGACACATCAACACACGCTTATTAATACGAAAGCGGCACACGCACACGCACACGCACACGCACCACGCACACGCACCTTCTTCTGGCTGTCCCGAATAACGTGGATGTTGTTGATTCCAAGGAAGGAGAGACTGCAGTTCTGGTAGTTTGCCAACACCTCATAGCCAGCGCCTAAGGCCACCATCACGACATTAGTATTGCGTGTGTGCGTGTGCAGTGGAACGTGTGCAGTGGTGTACCTTTGGCGGTGTTGGCTACGGCATTGGCCTTGGGTCGCGCGTCAAAAATGTGGAGCTGTCCCGCTTTGGGCACTGTCCGAATGATGCTGGCCAGCAGCTGCTCGTCCTCGCTGCAGCGGCCTCGCTGCATGCCCGTCAGCGGCTGGCTGCATCGCACGATGGCCGCCCCGCTCTTCGGGTCTATCCACGTCAGCACCGGAATGCGATTGCGTGAGCGGAACTTGATCACCGCCGGCAGCAATTCCTGAATTCAGCACATCCAACCAGTCAGGACCGTGTGCGTGTGCGTGTGCGGTGGTGCGCGAGGGCCTTGGTCTGCGGTGAGCGGCGTACGTCGGGGAACCGGGCGGGAACAACGAGTCTGGAGGGGTAGCTGGGGCACCAGCTGTAGTTTTTGTTGATCATGGAAATCTTCCACTTCTTAGAGGGTACACCCATCCTGGATGACATCCGACCCCAAGCCACACCATCAGCAACGCACAGGCACCACCGCACGCACACGCACACGCACACGCACACGCACACGCACACGCACACGCACACGACAACGGAAGATTGTAGAGAGAATTGTACCGCCTGTATTCCTTCTCGGCGTTGTAAATGGTCCAGCCATCGACTGGAGGAGGAGCGACACGCTGAAGCGACGCGTGGTACTCGAACGCAAACAATCGCGAGGCCGGCCGAATCAACCTGGTTGGGCAGAGTCGTGTGAGGGAGTGGGATGTCAACAGCAATTGCGAGAAAGCGGTGGTGGTACCCCTTGAGAATTTTGGTGTGAGTCATCCGTCGAGGCGGAGGATAGACGGGCGAGTCCCGCTCGAACACGAAGCGAATGATGCGGGTGTCCTTCAGGAAGATGTCCAGTCCGTAGTCGTCGTTGCCCATCGTGCGCTTCCGACCGCCCACCTTTTCCATCGACGCTATGAAATGGATTGGGAACGACTGCACAAACGACACGACACACACGACGCGCGCGAATGCGCCGGCGTCAGCCAAACAGGCGTTCGGACTTAATTTTAGGTCCTATCACGCGGAATAGGGTTGTGCCTTGGTCTGCAGGTCCTCCGTGACAAAAATGACCTGGTAGGTGGTCACGAACAGTGTACCGACGCACGCGGCCGCAGCGCCTCCGTTCCACACCTTCGACCTGACCGACGACGCCACATAGCTCACCTTCACAATTCGAGGAATGCGAGGAATTCAAGATATCAGTCAACGGTGGTCGTCGCCTGCGCGGGAAGAAAAGAGCAGAGAGCGAGACCTTTTCGCCGGGCAGGCTCTGGATGAAGTTGGGCAGGCTCGGCAACTGCTCCTCGGTGTCGGCCTGCTGGGCATCCTCCTTGGGCTCGGCCTGACCCAGGTAACCCTGCTTGTCGAGCGCCTCGAAGCGCTGTACGGCCCAAACGAGCGGTCAACCACTTCAACGTCAATTGCGACGTGTTTGACGTGCGGGGGCGGGCGGGCGTACGCTGGAGAGCTTGAAGATGACCTGAGAGTAGTGGGTCTTTTGGTTGAGCCCCGCCTGGCCGCTGGCCAGCTCCTTCTGCATGTCGATCAGTCGCGTGCAGATCTGGTCGATGTAATCGCTCATCCGTTGTTCCTACGCGATCAAACAAACAAACAGAGTTGCGGTGTGAGGCATCAGCTTTGTCACACAACACACACGACACATAACACACATGAATTGGAGTGCGTACGAGGGAGGCAGGGCGCATGTCGCTGGAGTCGACGGAGCTCTTCCCCTTCAGACCGGAGGGCGCGCTGCCCTCCTTGTCCTTGCTGATGTGGCGCGGTAGCTCGGAGATGGTCGACTTGGCCCGCCGCAGAATCCACAGCGCGTCGTCCTCGGTGCTCACGCCCTGCAAAATCTACACGCACCCCCACATCCCGTGCTGACATCAGCAAAGCACACACACGACACACACACGACACACACGACACACGAACGGCAGTGCGTAGTACCTTGGCCATCTTGGCCAGCTCCTTGTTGAGGCCGATGAGCTTGTGCGGCCGGTAGAGCGTGTGATCGCTGACGATGAGGGCCAGCTCGCCCAGGAACTGGGTAATGCAAAACAGCAGCATCTCGTCCAGCTGGCCCTCCTGCGAGTTGCCGTTCCGTCCGCCCTCTTCCTTGATCTTCCTCGCCAGCTGCTGCATCACCTCTGCACTCACACGACACGCGACACGCGACACACGACACGCGACACGCGACACACGACACGCGACACACGACACACGCATGCAGGGTGAGTGTCACGAGGTTGCGCTGAAGGAGCGCGGGCGTACCTTTCTTGGACAAGCCCTTGGTCGATGCCCGGTCGTCTGGCCCGCTGGTGGAGTTGCTCCTCGACCCGCTCCCGCTGCTGCCGTCGCTCCAGGCCACCAGCGCGGCGGCGTGGAGCAGGCCCGGCAGGCTGCCCAGCGTGCCGGGGCCCTCGTCCGCCTCGACCAGCCCGACCAGCAGCGGCAGCTGCAGGTTGCCCGACGCCCGCACCTGCACCCGCGCCGTCTCCACTCCGCCCTCGTTCGCTGCCGACGACGACGATGATGATGATGACGAAGAAGAAGACGACGATGATGAAGAAGAAGAAGATGATGGTGGAGAGGTGGAGAGGGTTGGGGCGGCTGGTCGGTCCTTCTCGCCGAGGACGATGGGGGAGAAGGAGCGCTCGCGGTTAACGGCGGTGAGGGCGGGCGACCGGAGCCAGGTGGAGGGGGAGAGGGGCGACGCAAGAGTGGAGGAGGAGGACGAAGTCGAAGACGAAGAAGATGAAGAAGAGTCGAGAAGAGGGGGAGGGGAGGGGGCCTTGGTGAGCCGTCGAAGCACGCCCGACGTGAAAGCGTGCGACGCTGCATCGATGGCCTGATCCAAGTTCGCCTCCTCCGCCGGCGCCCCCTTTTTGCTTTTGATCTCGTTTTGATTTTGACCTTCATCATCATCCAGGCCTCCATAGTCGTCGCCGTCGACTTCTTGTTCGCCGCTGGGCTGCTCCTGCTCGTTGCCCTCGCTCGCGCTTCGCTTCGCTCTTTGCTCGCCGTCTTCGCTTTCGCCATTTTGGCCTCGATCTTGGTCCAAAATCTTTTGTCTTCTCGAGCTTCCATCTTTTTCGTCGTCTTCGGAGCCGTTCTCGATGTGGAGGGCGGATGGGGTGGACGAAGAGAGAATCTGCGAGGCTCGGCCCTTGCCGATGAAACTGCTCCGGAGCGCAGCGGACGGTGAGCCAGCCGAGGGTACGAGGAGACCCGAGCCGCCTCCCCTAAACAAGGAAGAAGACGCTTCCGTAGGCCCTACCACAGGTGGTGGCGTATCTTCGGGCTCCATCCTCCTCTTCACTTCCTTCTTCCTCACCGCAAGTAATATATCACCTAATTTAAATTACCAATAATGGTTTTAATATGGTGAATTATTATTAATTTAATTATTATATATGGTGCCGCACTTGAGGGGGCACAAGTACCTTTGTGGTCAGTCTGGAGCTGGTTCTGCGTCACGGCATTCAGTTCTTCTTCGCTGTTTGCACGAAGTGCTGGGAAACGTTGGCTCCTTTGTTCTCCTTCTCGTGCAGTTAGTAAGAGAAAAAGAAATATAAAAAGAGTCTTGCGAGATGGACGAGACGACGCTGGAGCCGCTCGTCGCGAGCGAGCTGGATCCGTTGGAGCTGGCACATCAATTGAAGGAAAGGGCGGAAATCATCGGTGAAGCGCAGCAGACTCAGCTGTCCCGATTAGACTCGCTGTCGCAGCTCAAGCAAAGACGTAATCCCCCCCCCGCTCTTCTCCCGGGCTCACATCAATATGCGTGGCTACTGACGTAAGCCCTCACAACCAGTGGCCGAGGTGCGAATGCGCCATGGGGAGATGCAGGCCGAGCTGCAGCGAGCCACCGCCTTGAGTCCGCCCCACGCCCCGCCGCCTCTCAGAGAGGAGAAGCAGGCGTCGCCGTCCGAGATCAAGATCAAGGTGCTCTCTGAGTTTATTGCACCTGCCGGCTGTAAGTCGATGGGTCTGTTGACATGAGTGCGTGGAACAATGGAAGATGGAAGCGACAGTGGCAGCCAACATGCGAAAGCGAAAGCAGACGCTCATGGGCCAGGCCTTCAGCCTCGCCGGCATTCGCGTGCTGCCCTATCCAGGCAATCGCCTTCTCCTCGTTCTCGGCTCGTCCTACCAAGGTACCTGATCGCGGCCTGTCTCTATGAGCGCCTCATAGGTTGCCACTGCACTTACCCCCGCCTTTTCCGCTCAGGTCAGTACTTTGATAAGCGCTATCACATCTGGCTAGAGACGGACAAGGGTGCGACGAACAAGCTCCGGGTGTTCAAGCACACGGTGCCCTACTTCATTCCCATCAAGCAGCTCGAGGAGCAGCACCTGGCCAAGAACATACGGGTACGCTCTTCTGCGTGCACCTTCTCTCCTCTGATCCCAATACTCACCTGCTACACAAACGCGCAGTATTTTGTGAGAGCAGTGAGCTTGTACATGAACGCTTTCGTTGCCCGTCGAGGTCAAGTGGTGGAGCTGAATCGGCAGGCCGACATAGAGTCGGTAGAAACGAGTGCGGCATTCGACTACGTTTGCTTTTCCTTTGCGAGCGGTCAGCACGGGTACCGCACGCACCTTGCTGCCATCTCTTGTTGCCATCTCCTCGTCGCTCACCACTTGTGTATATAAACCACCAGACAAGTGCAAGTCAATCTCAAGTTTGACCTGATGCGAACACGCCCAAGCGAGGTCGAGGCCACCTTTATGACGCCACTGAAGACACGAAACAAGTCCGTGCGTACGTACCCATCCCTCTGCATCATGCGTTGGTTGGGACAGACGTAACAACACTCTGCTACAGGGGAGAGCGAGGCCCGCGAACGGAGGGAGTGGAAGCAGCGTGTAGAGGCGCTGATGAGGTCTCATCCGTTGGTGGAGGCCTACACCCAGCTGTTCGCCCTAGTTCCCGACACCTCAGTCCTGTACTAGCCGTTGCCACACAAAACAATAATTAAATAAAAAATAATCAAAACGATTATAAATACAGCAAACACAACAAAAATCCACAAAGAGAAGATGGACGGAGATCAGCCGATCGTGCGCAGGAAAGGACGTCCGCCGAAGGACCCGGAGAAGGCAGCAGAGAGGGCAGCTGCGGCTGCCGCGGTGGAGGCCAAACAACCGCGGGGCGTTAAGCGCAAGCGCATGTTCACCCGTGAATGTGCGCCCCCCCAAATTAGTTGGTTCATATGATTCTTACTTCTGCCTCGTGCTCATGTTGTTGTTTCTTGTGGGCTCATTGCAGTGCAGGCGATGATGTACGGCTTTGGGTACGATTCGCACCCTCTCAGACACGCCGCAGACGTGCAGACAGCTCACCACACGCTGTGCCATGCAGGGACGTCTCTAACCCGCTGCCTGAATCAATTGATCTGCTTGAAGACATGGTCGTCGAGTACGTGGTCGAGATGGTACCAGTCCCTGCCGCCTTCGTTCTGCTCTGCGCCCTCCTCACCAACAATGAGCTCACGTGAGGCTAACTCTTTCTCTTTCAAACCATCAAAAGACGCAGAAGGCGCTGCAGCTGACGACGAAGAAGGGCAAGGTGCAGACGGATGACCTGATCTTGTGCTGCGCAAGGACCAGAAGAGGCACGACAGAGCGCTCGAGCTTCTTCGCATGTCCGAAGAGCTCAAGCGAGCGCGCGCCAGCTTCGAGGAGAAGGACATCATCAAGGACGCCACCAGCGCCAAAGACAAGGAGAAGGACCTCGATGACGACCTCTTCGGCGGCGACTAGCTAGCGATCAAGAAGTCGAACCACCGAGCCTGTCCAGCTTTATGCATGACGTGTTGCCTTGTACAGTCTCACCACCAACACTTTTGCTTGCGGGCCACTGAACGGAGAGAAAAGGCTGAAGGAAAACAAATTATTCTGATTAAATCGAATTGATACAGATGCGGCGAACACGATGCGTCGGTCTCCAGCCATCGTCGGGTGGCTCCCTGCTGTCCCTTAAAACGACGGAAATGCACAGGCACCCACCATCATCGCCTCTGGTAAGGAGATCTCCATCAATCTCGCTAATTAGCATTGACAATTTTATTCAATTTCATTTTAATCCCTTTTTATTGTGCAGTTTAATCGATGTCCTCAAATCAACATTCAGGCCGCCTGTCTCGCTACCCGGTACTCCCTGGCATTTTGTTTTACACTTCTTTTTATTTTACTTTTATTCACTTGGTTGGAAGGCTGCGACCTACACCCAACCCGCTGGCGCGCCACTGCCAAAAGCAGCTGGAGGCCTACCCCGACTGGCGATCGCTCTACGCCGACCCGCGGCTGCCGTTCCACCTCGACTTGGGCTGCGGCAAGGGCCACCTCGTCTACCACCTCGCCTGCGAGCACCCGGAGATGAACTTCCTCGGTCTGGAGCTGCAGGAGGAGCGCGTCAAGCCCTTCCCCGCGCTGCCCAACCTCGCCTACGTGTGCTGCAACGTCAACGTGAGCCTGGAGCCGTTGCTCAAGTCCTATGCGAGCCAGTTGGCCGATCATCATCATCATCATCATCATCATCATCATCATCATCATCATCATCATCAACATGACAGCGCCGTGGCGACCGCGACCGCGATGACGGTGAAGCGCGTATCGATCCTCTACCCCGACCCCTGGTTCAAGAAGCGGCACGCCAAGCGACGCATGGTGACGCCCGAGCTAGTGCGCACCATCCACGGCTTCCTCGACGACGGCCCCGACAGCGAGGTCTACCTGGAGACGGACTTTGGGGAGGGCTTCTTCGAGGCCAAGGACATCTTCCTCCGGGATAGCTTCGTGCTCGAGACCGACGAGAAGCACTTCCCGCCCTGTCGCTTTGGCATGAGCGGTTCGTGTTGTTCCTCCCCACTTCCCTCGTTTTCATGGGAGATGCGCTCCGCATCATCATCATCGATTGCTGATGGCTTTCTCTGTCTCTCTTTTTGTTACAGAGTTTGCGATGTGGGTTCGGGAGGATCCCTCCATCCGGATCTTCACGGCCACCTTCCGAAAGGTGCCTCGCAACGCTACGCAGTGCGAGGAGGCAACCACACCACCACCCCACCCCAACTCGGTTCCACCAGCCTGAATACAAACGATACATAACACGTCATATCAGACCTCAACCCGACCCCAGCACCTACTCACCGGGAAGCGGGTGTTAGGAGGCAGGAGCTGCTGCTTGGTGGAGATCGAGCGTGAAAGAGGTGGCCAATTGACACGTACCAGTCGCGCTGGGTGGTTTCACGGATTTCTTTTTCCTCTCCTTTTTAGGGTTACCGCGCAACCACAACTGCAGTAGGCGATCTGTGCTGACGTGGCATGCTCTCCTTCGAGCTTGACGGACCGCAGTAGGAAGTACCCCCGAGCTACTGCTCTTGGTTCAGCGCACTGTACAGCCGAAGCTCACGTTTCAGGGTACCTGAAGTCCCATCCCTCTCTTATAAATAGCCATCTCAACATCCTCTTGTTCTCCACTGCAACAACAACAGCAAGAACAGCTCAAGCAGCTTAACAGCAAGTCACACTCACCAACACCATCATCACCAGCAACCAACCATGGGAGACGAAGTTCAGGCTCTGGTCATCGACAACGGTTCGGGCATGTGCAAGGCCGGCTTTGCCGGTGACGACGCGCCGCGCGCCGTGTTCCCCTCAATCGTCGGTCGTCCGCGCCACACCGGCGTCATGGTGGGCATGGGCCAGAAGGACTCCTACGTCGGTGACGAGGCCCAGTCCAAGCGCGGCATCCTCACCCTCAAGTACCCCATCGAGCACGGCATCGTCACCAACTGGGACGACATGGAGAAGATCTGGCACCACACCTTCTACAACGAGCTCCGCGTGGCCCCCGAGGAGCACCCCGTGCTGCTCACTGAGGCCCCCCTCAACCCCAAGGCCAACCGCGAGAAGATGACCCAGATCATGTACGAGACTCCTCCTCTTTTCCATCACCGCCACGCAATGGTTTCGCCGGAAAGATACTCACCTCCTCTCTCCATCAGGTTCGAGACCTTCAACACGCCCGCCATGTACGTCGCCATCCAGGCCGTGCTCTCGCTCTACGCCTCGGGCCGCACCACCGGCATCGTCATGGACTCAGGCGACGGCGTGACCCACACCGTGCCCATCTACGAGGGCTACGCCCTGCCCCACGCCATCCTGCGCCTCGACCTCGCCGGTCGCGATCTCACCGACTACCTCATGAAGATCCTCACCGAGCGCGGCTACTCGTTCACCACCACGGCCGAGCGCGAGATCGTGCGCGATATCAAGGAGAAGCTGTGCTACGTGGCCCTCGACTTCGAGCAGGAGATGGCCACCGCCGCGGCGTCGTCGTCGCTCGAGAAGTCGTACGAGCTGCCCGACGGCCAGGTCATCACCATCGGCAACGAGCGCTTCCGCTGCCCAGAGACCCTGTTCCAGCCCTCGTTCCTGGGCATGGAGGCGGCGGGCATCCACGAGACCACCTACAACTCGATCATGAAGTGCGACGTCGACATCAGGAAGGACCTCTACGGCAACGTCGTCCTGTCGGGCGGCACCACCATGTTCCCCGGCATTGCCGACCGCATGCAGAAGGAGCTCACCGCCCTCGCGCCGTCGACGATGAAGATCAAGATCATCGCCCCGCCCGAGCGCAAGTACTCCGTGTGGATCGGCGGCTCGATCCTGGCCTCGCTCTCCACCTTCCAGCAGATGTGGATCTCCAAGGAGGAGTACGACGAGTCGGGTCCCAGCATTGTCCACCGCAAGTGCTTTTGAAAGGAGAGGAAACATCGGGCGGGAAAGAAACCCTCCATTGTTCATCGCAAGTGCTTCTAAACGCGCGCAAGCTGCTGGTGTTGTATATACAACAGAGCCGTGGCCGCCTCCACACTCGATCGCACCCACCAGCAATAAATCCTTGCCGCTTTATTTTCGTCTTCATTCTTTTCTTTTTCTCTTTCGTTCTTTTGCAACTCACGCATGAAGCGAAAGGAGTGCTGGCCCGACCGCGAGCAAGTCGGCAAACACTGTCACCGCGCCGTCGGTACAGCTACACCAACCATTTTGTTATTTTTCACATTCATTACATTCATTTTATGGATATATATTCTATATTATTTGTATTATTAAAATTATAATCAAGCCAGGTCGGCAAGTGACAGTCCCGAGGTGGAGCTGCCGCTGGAGGTGGTGTGGCTCGTGCTCCAGTTTCTGGGTGTGGAGGACCTGCTGCGCGCGCAGCTCGTGTGCGTGGCCTGGCGCGACCTCATCCACTCAGAGAAGTCCGCGTCCCTGTGGAAGCGTGCCTACTTCACGTGGCCTCTTCCTCAACGAGGACCACCACCCGAACCTGATGACGACAAAGAAGAAGAGAAGTACCCGCCATCGAGTGATCCGCCCAAATGGAGGAGTGTCGCCCGATGGCGGCTTGCTCGCCACTTTGAGAGTGCGTGTGCGGTGTGTGGTGTGCGGATTTGATGTCTATGGTAGCCCATCATGATCTCACCTCAGGTGTCCCGTGACTAGATGAGCCCAACCACCAGGTGACTCGCTTGGCCAGGCAATTGACCGACCAGCTGCAGCAGGTCCCAGACGTCGAGCCTGACGAAGAACCCACCAAACGCGAGGGGAACCCGCAAGTCGAGTGGCTCAAGCGGCTGCTCAAGCGCACGTCGGATCACGCGACGCTCCTCGAGAGCGTGGCCTCCGTGAGACGCCAACTCCACCGGTAATTCCCGTCCTGCACGCACGCACGCACGCACGCACAACACACGCACGCACGCACGACACACGCTGAGCTTGCGGTGCCAGTCTTCTCGCACGAGTGCACAAAGGGCGCGAGGAGGAGAGCACCGGGGCCGCCGTGCGCGCCATCGCGTCTCTGCTGCCGAACATCTACTGGAGCCGCCTGAGCTCGCGTGAGTGGTACTACGAGAAGGACTGCATCGCGGAGAGTCGGCACTACAAGCGGTTCGTCTGCCACCGCGCCAAGGCTGTCATCTACAGCGTGGCGTCCGGTCTGCCGCTGCAACTCACCCTCACTTTCAACGAGACCAAGCGCTCGCTCAAGATTATGCGTACCAGCACCGTGTGTGTCGTGCGTGTCGTAAGTGTCATGTGTCGTGTAGTGTCGTGTGTCGTATAATGTGCGCTCTGATGGTGGAGGTGTGCTTGGTACAGCCTATGTTAGGTACAAGGCCAAGGACGGCAGCCCAAGACCCGGGGTCTCACGCGCCACGTCGCCGGAGCTCTACCGAAGTCTGCTGGCCAATATGGCCACATACCTCCTGGGCGTTCGGTGCGATCCCGTCGACGCCTCTTCTGTCCTGGTCGCACATTTCGATGGCCTGGTGAGGTTGGTGCTCCGCGCTGATGAGGTTCCCAAGTTGTACTCGCTGGGGGATACATCCAGTAAGCTGAAGCTCAAGAGTCCCTGGCTCCTTGGCGACGATGTTACAAACAGTCTCGAATAAATACAACCTTCTACCAGCAGCAGCAGGAGATCTGTTCTTAGCAACGAGCGCGGAACGTTGTTCAAGTGAACAAGAGTCTTACACGCTCAAGCACAAGCCACAGCACAACTCGGTTCCACGTGCCGTCAACTACTGGATGCGCCACCTCCACCTCCAGTTCAAGCTGATGGTTGTGTTTGGTCCTCTAATGCCTGCTCTGGCTCGGCGACACGGCAGAAGCGGAACATAGGCTGGAGGTGGGGCGGGAGGCGGTCCAGGTCCTTCTTCTTAATAGCCATGGGCGGGTAGCCCTCCTCCTTGTACAGCTTTTCTGCAATTTGAAGGATCAAACCGTACGACTTCAGGTCTCAGCACACAGAAGCCTCAGGCTGCAGAGAGGAAGCGCCGAACCGTAGGGCAAGCGATACCACTTGCGAGAGTAGATGAGGGAGAGCATGGGCCGCGCTTGGTCGGTGGTATTGGCCGTGCCTCGATGGAAGCACCGCATGTCCTGAACCACTCTCTCAGAAAAAAAAGAACAGCCTCTCGAGTGGGGGAGTGAGTAGTACCTTGATCACAACGTCGCCCACGTTCAGGAGTACCTTGTCCGATGGCAGGACGTCAATGGGCAGCGAACTGAACTGCGAGGTGCGTGAGTTGGTCGTAGATAGAGTCGAGGGTGAGGGGCGTGGGCCAACCACTCCATTGGGGCTGCGGTACCTCGCGCAGCGATGAGATGACGCTGCTGATGGCCATGTGGGGCGAACCTGTGGTTGTTGTGATTGGCTGATCAGTTATTTCTAAAAGATCACTCGACGTCCCAGCCGGCTTGGTGTGCCGCACCTGACCAGAACTCGGTGGGTCCGTTGTCGGGCGTGAGGTCTACCAGCGGAATGTGGACATAGACGCAGTAGGGCGGGAGCGGGAGGAATGTATCAAAGAGAGGCTCGTAGTCGATATGCGGCTCCTGCTGCTCACACCCTGCAGCAAACAATCACTGCACATTTGGCCCAAAAAGAACGAAGAACAAGAAAGAACGAAAGCGAAAACGAAACGAAGACGACAACGAAAGGGAGGCTGGTGCGCTACCGGGCAGGGCGACATGGGACGAGGCGAGTGAAAGAACGAAGTCGGGACCCAGCAGGTGGTCGAGAACCCGCACGATCATGTCGGCGCCCACAAGACGCGGGTCGATGAAGGGCGCGGTGAGCGGCAGCACGGCTTGGTACCGTCCCGGGCCGCGGTTGGGCTGCGGGCGGCGCGGGAGCACGACCGACGTGAAGTGGGCGTCGAAGGCCGGCCGCACGGTGTCGCGGAGGAAGGTCGGGTCGATGGCCGACCGCACAATGCAGTACCCGTTCATGCCCACCACCCGCGCCGCTCGCCCAGCATCGAACAGAGCCTTCGTTCCGTCGGCCGTCAGTTGCGACGCCCGGCCGGAAGCATCAGCTCCCTCCATCTTTTACAACTTCTTCTTTTAGAATTAAAAAAATGAAAATGGAAGAAATGAAAAAAATGAATAAAAGAAAGACGCTTGGTTGTGGGCGGAAAGCAACACAGTAGATCGACGAGCGATGATGTTTGGTGGCAAGGTGAAGGTGGACAAGTTGGGCAAGGAGTTTTACAAGGCGAGCGAGAAGAATGACGTCGAGAAGATGAAGCAGATCATAGAGTCAGGGCTTGACCAACGCGCCCTGCAACGAGCTCGGCTGGTTCCCTCTGCACTGCGCTGTACGCAATCTAATCTTGTGGGAAAGAAGAGAATGTCACCAAGTTGTGCAAATCATAAATCACTTCTTTGAATCAAGCACAGGCATTCAAAGGGCAGCTCGAGGTGGTGAAGATGCTCTTGGACAAGGGCTGCCCGGTTGACATCCGAAACGCACAGAAGGAGACCGCGCTCACACTTGCCGTCATGTACAACCGCGCCGAAACAGTGAAGGTACCGCCAACACCGTGCGTGTCGTTCTTCACCTGCCACGTTCGCTTCAAGCTTACGCCACAACACGACACGACACGACCCACGACACGACTAACGACACGAACGTCGTGCAGTACCTGTTGGAGAAGGGAGCCAACCCGCGAGTTTCGGACTGGATGGGCAGGACGGTGCGCGATGCGGCAGAGCAATCGTTCACCCCCAACGAGGAGGCCAAGCAGGTCTTGCTGGATGCCCTGTCGCCCCAGAAAGGTGACCTCGCGCCGCCATCGCCCAGACACACCGCCCACGCACTCACGCAACACACACACACACCTGCGCCGTTGCTTGATGCTACACAGGAACGGCAGCGGGGAAGACAGGATCGTGCCAGGTGTGCGGGGCTCCCTCCTCGCAGCGGTGCGGCAGGTGCAAAGCCGCCTCCTACTGCTCACACGAGTGTCAGCGCAGGTAAGTCGTCGGCTCCGCGCCCACCGCGCGTGGCACATCATCACAGTTAACGCGGCACCACGCATGGTCACAGGGACTGGCCCAGCCACAAAGTCGCCTGCCAGCCATGAGCAGAGAAAGACCAAAAGAGACGAACGAAGAGCGCACGAGACGAACACCGGAAAACAAGAACATGCGCCTGTCGTTGTTTGCTAAGATGTGTGTGTTGAGGGGGGTTACGCTGAATCAGGGCTGCACCTTGGTGGCCGGCTTGTCGGCGTTGAGGTTGAGGAGCAGCAGCTTCATCAGGCAGGTGCGGAAGTACTGGGCGGCGGTCAGGTGGTCTCGCCGCATGGCGAAGAGGACCTGCTTGAACGGGTGTCGGCCCACCTTGCTCGCAAACAGCGTGGTCGCCGGGTCCTTGGCCGCCTTGGCCTGCGAGGCGTGCTGGCTTGTGCGTGCGCTGAGCTCGGCGGCGCACTCGCTGTCCACCCGGTGGTACTCGGCGTCGACCCGGTCGATGAGGTGCCACAGCCTGTGGCTCACGCTGGCGTAGAGGGCCGCGAACTGCGGGAAGCGCGCCAGCATGGCGGTCTCCTCGCGCGAGACGTCGATGCGCCGCAGCACGTTGAGCATGACCTCTTCGCTCGGCTCCCCGCGCAGCTGCCTGACGGCATCGTGCAGGCTGATGTAGGCCGGGCTGTCGAGCCACAACTGCGGCTCAGCTGGGCCACCATCACCTCCGGCGGCGACGATGAGGCCCGAGGCAATGCTCGGCGGCAGGTTAGTCAGGAGCTGCATCAAGGCTGAGGCGCTGTCCACGCCGACCAGCACTGGCGGGCGCTCCCACCCTGAGAACTGTGTGACGTGGCATCAGTCAAAAAGCAGGCAGTTGGAAAAAAGAACGAAAAATGAAGAATGACGAGGTGAAGCACTAACCTCGTGGCTGGCGCTGCTGAGGCGATGGTGCAGTGTCTCGAGACAGGCCACGCCCACGTAGAGCAGCCGAGGGAGACGCAGGCCTGTGACGGACGAGAGATTGCGTTGCAATGGAGTCGGTGATGACCCGGCGGCGTCGACCACCACCTCTCCGTCCTCCTCCGGCGCTGCTGCTGGGCGGACTCCGGCGAAGGCGCCCAAGCCCTCGGCGGCCAGCTGGAAGAGGAAGCACCGACGGCCCTGCTCCTCGGCAGGCGGAAGGGTGTAGCCCACTGCCGACCACAGCGCCCAGAATGCGTCGCGCAGCAGGGTGCTGCCCTCCGAGGAGGGAAGCGACGCTTCTTCGACGCGGTCGTCGGCCTCCATCGAGGTCTGGGACGACACCTTCCACTTCCCCTCGCGGGCGTACAAAACGCACAGCGCGCCGTTCAACTTTGGCAGCACACACAGGGCCTTGCCTGCCAACCGAAGAAAAAAGCGAAAGTGTTAGTGAGGGCAAGAGCGTGTAGTGATAGGGCCGGCCTGGGAGATGCGCACCCGATGCGGCAAAGTCGAGAGCGTCGACGCGGTGCTGAATATCGGCTAATTGTCGCGGCTTCGCAAAGCGCGGGAACGGCAGCGAGACGACTCGGCACGCGCCGTCGGCTTCGTCGATGATGACGCCGTGGCACTGTCGGGCGAGGAGAGTGACCAGGGGCGAATCGTTGTCCTCCTCGTCGTCGTGGTCGTCATGCAGGTCTGCGAAGAGAAGATCCGGCGGCCGCTCCTTCTCGTCGTCGCAGTCTTGCGCCTGCCTTCGCCGTCGCAGTTCGTCCTCGTCGCAGCAGAGCTGCACCAGCGAGCCGCTGCGTCGCACGGTCACCGGCAGGTGTCGCACCAGTAAGCCCGCGCCCTTTTGCTGCACCAGTGTACGCAGCAAGCGAAACCCCCGTGCGCTTTCGTCCTCCGAAGTGCGTTGCGTTTCCTGATACGCTCGCTCGACCAGCCGCCGGAAGTCCTCCTCCTCAGACGCGATCTTCCCGCGAAACACGCCCAGCAATCGCTCCAGCTCGGGCTGGCATAGTATGCCAACCACAGTAAGTGTGAGCAGCAGGCATTTTAGAAATAATAGGTAACACACCGGTGGAGGCAGTTACCTTGAATCGGTCGACGACTGTTGCACAGCCTTGAACAGTCAGTTCGCCCATGGCTTCAATCTCGCGCTGGTATGCGTTGGCCTGGCGGTAGTCCACCACCTTCCCCTCGTCCAGCAGCTGTATCCCGAACATCACCGACCTGCCGGCAGGTTGTGGTCGGCGTGCGGTGAGTAGACACTCACTACGAGCAGCCCACAGCAACTGGTTGGTACCTGAACATGCGCAGTATCTCCTTGACGAAGAGCTTGGCGCCGTCGGTCTTGAAAATACGCACCAGCTTTGCCTTGGTCTGACCGTGGAACTGCTCGAGAACGGATCGGGCCAGCTTGCGGAGGTTGAGCCGATCGATCATCTCAAACCGCACGGTCTCCTTCCACACGAAGCGAGCGGGGAGGGACAACGATATGACCTGGTAGAGGTCGTTGTGTCGCAGGCTCTCCTCAAATTTCCACATCGGACCCACACGTGCATGTACATTCCCTGATCACACACACACACACACACACACGGCGCCTGTTAGACGCATGCACTCGCAGCACTTCTACATGTGCTCTAAGTACCGCGGGTGAAGTTGGCGGGTCCCTTGTAGTAGTCTCCCATCGTAATGATGAACGACCAGTGTGCATCGTTGTCGTCGCATTCATACACGCGGCTGCCAAACTGGTAGATGTTGAGGACTGCGATAGACCATGCACATCACAAGTGTTGGCAATGGTTATCACGGTGATGAGAGCTGCCACCACCACAATCAGGTACGGCACGCGTAGAGAAGTCGGCTACTACAAGCGTAATGGTGGGTACCTTCATCGGGGCGGAAGCCCATCAGGACGCTCAGGATCTCTGGGGTGAGCTCCTCCGCGCTCCACCACTTGGAGAAGTCCGCCTCCATCACCGCCTTGGCAGCCTTGTCTGTGCTACCGACCACCACGGCGCGCTCTGCACACACTCGAGTAAGCACACGCTCACGCATCACCGCACACGCACCACCGCGCGCATGCAGAGCGTACCAGGAGTGAAGGCGTGGCCGTCGGCAGCGAGTCGTAGAACGATCTGGCAGATGTTGAGGACGTCGTCGATGCCGGAGTGATGGCGCCCCTGGTGCGGCAGCCCGAGGTACCGCAGGAGCGACTTAAGGCCCTTGATGTGGTGCTCACGGCCCGGCTTGTAGAAGTATGACACCTCCTCACGCACGTTGATGAAGCGCTGCAGATGGTAGGGCACGTCGAGGCCCTTCGCTGCAGCCTCGCCTCGCAACTGCACGTCGAGATCCCAGTCCCCATCCGTCGCTACACAGATTAAATCTTTGTCTACGCCCCCGTCTTGCTGCTGGAGGTCGTGCATGGCCTGGGCGAAGATGGCAATGCATTGCTTGAGCGGCTGACCCTGCTCGGCGAGTACAGCATCGGTGATTCCAGTGAGCTTGGTACAGAAGGCGGAGAGGTGGCGATTTTCCTCCCATTCGGGCTTCACGTACAGCTGGCGCTGCTCGATGACCTTTGCCTCCTTCAAATCGACCACTGCCCAGGGAAATTCGATAATCTCGTGATGCAGTCGGTTCTCAGTGCCGTCTCCTGCGCCCGAGGACGAAGGATTCCGCACCTCCTCGCATGTGGCCTCCAAATCCAACACCACCACGTAGCGATACCTCGACGGACCTCCTGTCCCCTCCATCAATCACAACAGCTTTGTGTCGTGGTCTTCGCTGAAGACCCTTTAACTTTTGGTTCTGCTGTTGGGTGCTTAGTTCGAACGAAGGGCCACCACCAGAGGCCTCGCTTCGTGGCTAAGAAGACTCTCTTTCTTTGTGCTTCCGCTCATACCTACTCAGTACGATGACGACACCTCGTCGTTCGTCCCTGCAGCAACTACCTCGACCACTTCCTCCACTGAAGAAGGTGCCAGTGTCGGCTGGTCTTCCGTATGTTGCTGCTGCTGCTTCTTGTGGGCTCGCTTCTCTCGGCTGCTGCTGCTCTTCGGCCTGGCGCCCTCGTGTGTGCTGTCCTTCGCCTTCTGCTGATGTTGATGGTCCTTGTTGATCTCGAGCTCTCGCTCCCGACGCTCGCGCTCGGTGCAGCGGTGATTGTCGAGTTCGCGCTTGATCACCTCCCGCACGCTGTCGCATATGACCGCGTGGAGGTGCGGCCGGTCCTTCTCGCTCACCAGCCCGATCTCGCACAGGACCTCCTCGATCGTGGCGATGACCTCCCCCTCGTCGACGTGCACCTCGTCGTTCACATCCCCCGCACCTGCGCTGCTGTTCTTCTCTTTTCGCTCGTCGCCGCTGTTCTCTGTTGGTTCATCGCTGGTGGACTGGGTGGCGGTGATGGTAGTGGTGAGGTCGCTGACGCTCGCAGTTGCGGTGGTTGTCGTTGTCGTCACACCGTCGGTGCCAGACGCGCTGGTCGCGGTGGCGCCTCGGTTCTCTTCGTTCCGTGCGCTACCGCTGCGCTACCGCCTCCGATCATGGCCTGGAAGAGCTTGACCGTGCTCCGCCGCAGTCGAAATGAGAAAACGGGCTGCTCGCCGCTACCGCCGGCGGTGTCACCCTCGTGCGCGGCATGTCGTCGATTGTTTTTCTCCTCCTCCTTCTCCCGCTTTCGTTTGTTCTGCGCGACCTGCTCCTCGATGCGCCGCGTCACGAGCTTCTGCACTATCTGCTCGATGCGGCTTGCCATATCCTGCCGCGCGCACGCATGAAAAAGATCAATAATCATAAGAACTAATCCATAAGAAATGTATATGTTTGCCCGCATACCACGTTGGCGAGCTTCTCACGCAAGAGAGCGTCGATTCTCATCTTCAGAATATCTGAAATCTCATCGGCCTGCCAGAACAGAAAGAATTAGAGATGAGTCTGCACGCAGAGATGGTACACTAATGGTGTGGCACGTACTCGAGTGGTAATAAAGAGCAGGATAATATCAGAGTCCGTGTACTGTTCCGCCACGCGCATGTAGAACAGCTTCTGGTCGCTTTCTCCGCCGATCGCCTCCACGCCATACCCGAGAATGTTATAGTTATCGTCGGTGCTCCCCAGCTTGTACTCGCCGATTTTTACCTGCATGCGATTGACACGACGCAGCGACAGTATTACCCACACCGGCGAGAAAAGCATCATCACTGAATGAGAGAAAGAGAAGTGTACTGGACCAGTACATACCCCAGTGAACGGCTGCTGAAGCTGCACGCTGGCGTGATCGATCGCAACAGAGACGAGAGAATCAAACGTGATGACTTCCTCTTTCTGCAGGGGATAGGGCAAGCGCTGGCCATTGAAGAAACGAGGGAATGTGATAAGAAAACCAATGCTTAGAGAGACGAAGTGAAGCAGTGGAGGTGTGCGTACACGACAGATAAAATGTGGCACGCCCAGATCATCCAGATTCACACGCAGACGAGGGAACCTGCCATCCACACCGGATATTGTCTTGCGCTCTGTCGTGTGCAACGGAGGATCAGTACTCGAAAGTGTGACCAACCGCGGAAAAGAGAGAAGAAGCTGTCGTACCTTCGTCGTCAAAGAACGAAGAAAAGAGGAAGGAAGAGATTTCCTCGAAGCACAGCGAGCTTCGGCCCGTGTTGTGCCCACCTTCGATCATTATCCGCCTCTTTACCTTCGATCCATAGGCCTCGTGCAGCAGTTGCGTGTGGTGCGGTCGTACTAACGTGTCGTTTCGACCTGCACACGCACACGCACCACCGCACATGCACCGCGCGCGTTAGCGAGAGCACTGCCAGGCAGTGGCTGGGGGCCGGACGTGCTGTCAACACGATGGCGGGGTGAAAAAGTAATTATCTTAGGGTCGAGACCTTGAATAAATATGGCAGGGACACTGCACTTGGGCGCCATTGCGATGGGCTCGAGGTCGGAGATGTCGAACTCGGCGCGAGCTTTGATAGCCTTGCGCAGAATCGGGATGCCCAATCCGAGCAGTCCGCCCACCACCTTCTTCGGTATTTGCTTAATCTGTGTCGCGTGTGTCGCGTCAGCCAGGACTGTTGTCGGCGCTCACCAAGGGATGCAGTGCGTACATATTGGCCTTTGCCATCAGCAGAGTCGACGACCTCAGGAATGAGCTTGAGGAGACTGGCGAAGGGTGAATCGAGGACGAGCGTTGCCGGCACCATCACCCCCTCCTCGCCTTCCGCGCGCCTCTCCTCGGCTTTGGCCGTGTACATCAACGCCGTCACTGCACCCATGCTGCGTCCCCACAGACCTACACACATACAAAGAAACAAAAATCATCGTTGGTCGTCAGCAGACGCATACACACACCGCACGCGGGAGACGTACAAATATTGGAGACTGTGTCGGTGGACTTGAGGTACGCCAGCACCGTCGCCACGTCGTCCTGTTCA